ACCGTAGATCGTGCGTTTATCGAGGGATCTTCCTCGATCAAATATTCTCAACCTCCGGCACGGCTAAGGAAACGTTCCGTCGATGGAATTCCACTGATGCCAGAGGAAGATCGTTAGAGTTGTGGTTAATGATCCTGAAACTCGTAAGGAATCACGACAGGGATATACACAGTCGATGCAGCAAGAAATATCACCATGGGAGCACCTGTCACGATGAACTTTTAACCCTTTGCACTTGTTCGTCGAGTGTGAAACACCAGCTTTTATCACAGCAACTCCTATGTCGAGTTACACTCGAAGTTCTTTGCTTCTTTACTTACTGAATAAGAAAACAGAAAATAACTTTAATAAAATCAGTAAACAAAATTCTTTGAAATAAATAACAGTGGAGGAATTGTCCTGCGAAGTAAATTTCAAATAAAATACTTAAAGTGGTAGAGAGTTATTGGTAACAAAATTGAAAAATAATTCGGAATACAAAGGGATAATAGTCGTCCATTTTCTTTCACGTCTCGTTCACGATCAAACACATGACATTTGCCAGCACACATTACCACGAATCTTTCCAAGTTGCTTCGACGTTTGGTAACTTTCGAGGATTCCTTTTCTCGCTATCTCCTTGTCCAAAATGTTTCGAAATGATCGGAACATTGGCTAAAGTTGTCGAGCAGAGAAAGGTTCGAACGGACGTGAAAATAATACGTTCACGAGACGATACTTGACAAAAGTTCATCCCCTATGGCGACACCGACGATAAGTCAGCGACATTGGCTCGATAGGATTCGCTCGAAACTTGGAAGTTTCGAGTGGTATTAATTACCCGAACTTAAATCACGAAGGGCTGGAATATTTGGCTCAAGCATCGACCCGATTCTCTAGGAAATTAATGATTCGCGCAACGTTTCCGATATTCTTGCCGAGCTCTTCGTTACGCTGACCTTTCGAGGTGAAATAAAAAATTGAAAAACTGTGAAAAATAGGAAAAATCATCGCCCTCGTAGTCGAACGAGATTCACGAGTATAAAAAGAATTATTTGGGTAATATTTGCGAATAATCGTCGGGAACGTCAATAGCGATTGTGACGGAGAACAGAGAGAGTAAAAGAGGGAGAAAAAATAAAGCTGTGGGATGTAATTCCCGTCTATTGAAAAGCGTTTTTGGCACGAACGATTGGACTCGAATCCGTATGAATATGCGTGTCCATTAAAACGACTCGTTGGAACACCATTGCGCGCGCGCCGCCCATTTTTCGACCATCCTTCAGCGACCGTGGTCCCAGTCGGTTCACCGTGGCTCGCCTCCGCGTGTTATGTAAATGACAGGCGTATTTTTACGTCAGACTTATGCACCGCAACCGTAATTCCTCTGCTGGCGAAAATTATCGTTAAAAACTAGAATTAATTGCTTCCAGCTGCGTCCTATTTGCAACTTGTCACCTGTTAGCTCACTCTTCCAACGAATTATCTCCGTGTCAATCAGCGGTAATTTCGAATAATCCCCGTGGTTGATGCTAATAGTTATACGATAGTATCCACGCGAATCGCCTGTAAACGCGATCGTATGAGTACCTTTTACGTGCTACAATCTACGGATCGGCGTTGACACCTCGGTCTATCCTGGCATGTAAGGGATGCCTCACGCATCTGGATTGCTTCCCACTCTGACTAGAAGATTCCAAAACCGCTATTCAATTTCATCGTATCGGGCATGGAGAAAGGAGATAGCTCGAGTGCCTACGATATCGAGGGTAGGTAGAACAAAATGGCGAAGTCGCGACGGTACTTTCGTTAACCAGCTTGAGACTATCGGATGGAATATTTTGGTCGTAAAATCGGGCTCCATTTTTCCAGTATGCTTCGTAGGATAATGCAATGGCTCTATTTTATCCGCGATAGTGATCGAGCAAAGTAATTTCGAGCTTTGGTTTCGACAGGATGCATCCAGTGACGTCTCGCGTCCTTCCGTGCAATGATCTCGTCACTGTACGTTTTACCGTCCGAACGAGAGCTAATATTGACACTTTCAACGACAGCATGATACGCGTGGCTCGTTATTTCATTCGTGCATTGTCCATTTCCAACTCGTTCGCGAAGTTTCCATGTAAATCCGACGCGATTCATGAGACAGGACGACGAGCTAAAGCGCCATAAACCTTCGTGGAAAAGAGTAAAGAGGCATGGGGTGACAGGGTGAAATAGTCCCGGTCGGGAAACCAGGAAGGGAACAAAATTGCTTGAAACGTCTGAGGGGTAATGAAGTAGCAACAAATATGCGACAGAGTTCAGAGAAATTGATGTTAGAGTAATTTCCATGGCGCAAAATATTTTCCTGAAATTCTGTTTTCTCTCGAAATCCTTGCTTACCGATTTCGCGAAATACCTCATGTTTAACCCACTACCTGTATGAAGCAAGTCAGTACCTCATATAGTCGGAGGAATCGTTATGGGAATCCATAAAAATCCCAAGGATATCCGGTATACGACGCTCGTGTATCTTACACACACGTTCATCGATGCGAGGTTGTACCGATCGTAAAACCGCGTTTCCGAGCAAAGAGGTTCCTTTGAAGAATCAAATATGGTGGAACGAAATTTCTGAAACTTTCACGTCATCGATATTCCGTTCTTCGAAGGAGCTCGAGTACCGTCTTTCATGAAAAATGGCATCGTGTGCCGGTCGCTAATCCAAGATAAGGAATTCCATTGCTTTTCCGCGAGCAAAGAGTGCAGATAAAAGCATATAAGCTGTTTATTGAAAAATAAGCAAATACCGTGAAATAATTCTCAACAGCGCGTGGAACGGTCGGTGCCGTGGAATTTATTTCAATTTAGGATGGTGGATAGGTGACGTGAAATCGAGATCTGATTAATTTTTATTGTAGCGCGATTCGCTATCGAGCAGCCAGCTATCGATACGCGGGTTTCATGGGGACAAAAGGATCCGCGGCGTCACTAGCCGGATGAAAACTAGCGCCATAGGGAAGCTCCTTTTTTCATTTCCGACCAAGGGACTTTCCACGACAAATACAAAGAACTATGAAGTTGATAAAGAGGAGCGGGGAAGAAAGAGAAGAGGAAAAGAGCGAGCTTAAAAGAGGTTCCCATGGATATCATTTCATTATTTCACCCTCGAATCGCTCCAGCAGTAAAAGCCTTCCCTTCTCTCTCAAAGGTTTCCAGAACGATGGCACATCCAGATCACGAAGATACAGCATCGCGATTTGCAATTCTAACGTGCAATCTTCAGCGTATATTACACTTTGCCAGTCGTTGTTTCCGCGTACGTTCGTGTCTTATCTTTAAAATCACCTACACCCCAATTTCGCTACCCGCTGACTGCCTGCTGTGGGCAGGAAATTTACAGCTTGGCCTAATCTCCGTGCTAGATCGCCTCGTGCAAATTCAAATTCGACGGGATTAAGGACCAGCCGTGACTTTTACCGTAGCCTTCACGGGTTGATCAATCTCGAGTGGCGAAGATTCCTCGGGCAATTAACGAGTCTGGGAGGAACATGTCACCCAGTAGATAGGGTCGAGCGGGAAATACGTCGAGGACGACAGCATGCTGATTTTCCGCCGATGTACGTACGATAGCGCGAGGTCAGGGGTGACGTATGAAATTCCGGATGAAATTTGAAAAAGCAGACGCAGAAAAGGTATTTGAAACGCGAGAGCACGAGGAAGCGTATCCGTCTCGCAGACAGGAATCGACCGAACCAACTCGAAAACGCGAGATTGGCGTGATACGGAAACTTCGTTCGCAACTCGTTGAAAAGGTACGTCAGACTTACAGGTGAAAAAAAATAGAGGGAAAATCAGGGACAGCTGATGAATATTCCTCCGATTCCGTTCCACCAGGCATAAATCACGAGAAATTATTTTCCCTTCCCATTATTCTCTCGTCGCATAAAATTATATATCAGAAAAAAGAAGGGAATGAACCGGGACGGAAATTCTGAACCGACAATAGAGCGTGCAGGTTGTTTACATGTTATTCATAAGGAGATTTTTCATGTTAAAACACGTTTCGATGAAATATTGCCTGTCGCTCGCACGGGATCCATTTTTCTCTCCCCTACACCTCTCTCGCTCTTTCTCCCTCTATTTTAAACAATATACATTGGATTTTCACGCCGGTGTCGACGAATGACATTAAAGCGTCGAGACAGGGTTTACAAGATGTAATTTCTCGGCAGAGTGTCAATGATCGAAGGAAATCCTTCCCGACTAGCGGGATGGTAACCTTATTCCTCCTACGAGCAGGAAAACAAAGAGACCACTTTTTCCCAGCAGCTCTACGATGCACTTCCTCTTCCCCTTTTACCCGCGTGCTCATTCTTTTCCCCCCTAGGACGAATTAGCGAGGAAATTGCACGGCATTTCCCGGGTCCTCTTGCTCGGCGAAATCTGTTTCAAACGCGCATGCCATCGCCGAGAGGGCTTTTGTAAATTTATATCAAAAAGGTAGGCGATTTATTTGACTATCCAGCCACCATCGTAAACACGCCGGACTTTCGCTTTATCTTTAGTTTGCAAATTTGCACTGGTCTATGTACCCATCTCGAATACCTCGAGCTCAAACACGTCGTGAATGGAACGTTTTTACTCGCCCTGTTCAAACCGCGCGTCCTGGCTAATTCGTCGGACATCGCCAGTTTCCGCAAGGGTGTGCTCGTTTATTAATATCATCTCCGCTTTCGGACCTTTCGTTTACCGATCGTTGAAAAACCAATCGCGGGACCATCGACCGCTCGCCCGATGACGCAGATGTTATCCAATTTCTCGATTGCTAAACACGGCGAGCAAGCAGTCGGAGCAATTGGTGGAAAAAGTATGGATGGGAAAGTAAAGCAAACAGGAACGTCAATTTCAGATTCATCGAAATTCCCGTTCCATCCCGGCCGGATGACGAATCAGCGTCACCGATCCGCGCCGCGGATGGAACGAACTCGCGGTTTGCAAATGGCGGAAAGAAAGCGACGTTTGCTTCTTTATTCCAGGGGAAGATAAATAAGCTCGCTGGGGATGTTCGTGCGAGAAGTTGGACACGGAAGAGGAAGAAAATCGCAGTGGATCATTCATAACAGACGAGAGGCGGGTTATATTTTACGAATGGCAGCAATCCTGAACGCGACGACGTTTCCCAGCGTGCGAGGGAGCGAAGACGAGGACAACAGCTACGTTCCGTACGTGCAACGACCCGAAACGTACATAGTACCTGTGGTGTTCTCGTTAATCTTGGTGGTGGGTCTAATCGGAAATGGCATCGTGGTGTATACTCTCATTCGTCACCCCAATATGAGAAACGTGCCGAACACCTACGTGCTGTCACTGGCCGTGGGCGATCTTTTGGTAAGGAAACTTCCATATAAACTTCCATTTTCCATTTCGGAATGCTGGCAAAGAGGTACGTCAAATATACCCGCTTCATTGTCCACGCGTGAACGATTTTCACAAGCTGCGACGTGGTCAATCTCGAGTCATTCCCGGAGCCGTCGAGATTATATATTCATGGGATGTATAGGTTGTTTAAAGATTCATGGTATAAATTTTTCGAGAACGTATCGTCTCGTTATCCTCTAAACGATCGAAGCCAACGAAGCTTTCTCATCGCGTGAAACCCGAGTGAACCTTGGCCCGTCGTTTTTCCAATTTACGACCATAGGTTACTGCCATCTTGGCGCGAAAGGCGTAAATCTCGAATCTTTCGCCTCGGCGCGATTAATAAATTTCCGGAGACCCTCGATTTCCAATTGCCGGTCTGTACATACGCGTATGTATCACGATATACGTAATATATCAAGACGGTGGTGCAATAAGTTCGAGATACACGGTGACAAAGTTGCCAGGAATTCGTAAACGCTCCGGTGATATAGAAGAAAAATCCTCTTCGTGGCGGAAGCTTCTTTTCGGTTCGATTTCCCGTCAATCGTGGAACGTTGCTGGAATCCGTGTCATTTGTACCTGGCAATATCGAGTATTATGCAGTCTGTCGGATCGCGCTGGTAAATCTGTCGCGAGTGCTTGCAGGATTTCCGTTGCTGTTTATATCGACGATCTCGCTCAGAATATTCGTGGACTAGAATGGTCGTACATCACGGAACAGGCATCGTTGAGAGTCACGTTTCCGTGGACATTTGGTCAGGAAACAATAACGATCACGGTAATAAGCTCAGTTTATAGCATATGAGGTCTGGTCGGCGTGTAACGCATAAACGCGCGGATGATCGGCGAGGATTAACGCGATCCACGAGTTATCATCGGCGAGTATCGTAAATAAGAATCGAACGAGGATATTAAAAGGCGAAGAAAAAGGCAACACGATTTACGCTCAGCGACATAACTTGACGTTTCATCGCGAGCTAAAATTGCATAAAGTTGCGCCAGGTTTACCTGTTTACGTCAGATAGGAAATATCTGCATTATTTTTCGTTCCTTTATCGCGGATGACACGAGAGCGATATCTGTATATTCGTTATCAAGATTTAACTTTAATACGAGCTGATTAACGGAATATTTTCTCTAATACTGCATCAATTGAGGGACTTCAAACGAACGCGCGTGTATCGCATTCGGCGATCGATTCGATTTGTCAGGAATATTTTTCAATCAAATAATTTAAAGAAGTAACGCATTTGCTCCAGCAACGATGGTGTTTCGATAAATGTTTCCGATCAATTCCATGCATGTAAATACGACGATGAGTATCGCGTATTTTATTACACCGCCCCTTTGTATCGAAATTTCGGGGATTTTCAGCGCGGTGGATTCTTCGCCATTTCCTGCGAAATCGAAGCAATTAAATCTGCGACACGATATACCGATTATGCAACATCGCGGAAAAATACGGAAATCGAATTTACATTCGATACTGATTAAACGACACCCGTATAATCATGTCTCCCCGCTCGTGCGCGTGTGCTTTTTACCTTCCGTGTGCTTCAGGTGATCATAACGTGTGTACCGTTCACGATGTTCCTGTACACGTTCGAGTCGTGGCCGTGGGGTCTGGCAGTTTGCAAATTATCGGAGTGCGCCAAGGATATTTCGATCGGCGTCTCAGTTTTCACTCTGACCGCGTTATCAGGCGAGAGGTAAGTTGTCAAACCCAGTTACGGTTGAGGAAATTGTTGTCTCAGGGATAGGGTAGCCATCGTAACTTTCACGAAGTTCCGTTCCACTAATGGACCAATCGACTGGTCGTTGGTTCGTTTAATCGGTAATCCAAACGAAGCTCCGAACGCTAAATTTTCTTTTCGGTCGTCGGAGGGGATCGTTGCTCGGAACTCGTCCGTAGTGGTACAACGGGAAATTTTCGAAACTTCAAAGACGGTCGTTTAAATCGCGCCGATGCAAAGAATGAAAATAATCCTCTGCGAAAATCGATTTACGAACGCACACGAATCGTAGGCGAATACGAGAACACATGCTCCTGTTGCATCTCAGGTACTGCGCTATAGTGAATCCCATTCGCCGTCACGTAGCTGGACTGAGCGCCAAGCCATCCACGATTCTGATAGCCTCCCTTATTTGGGTGCTGGCGATTCTGCTGGCTACTCCGGCTGCTCTTTACTCGCACGTGCAGATCAGACAGTTGCAGAAGAACCACACCATCTTGTTCTGCAACCCCTTCCCCAAAAAATTCGGTGAGTATTCCGTGCATTATCGAGACCATTCTATTCCACCTGGGTACCACCCTGTATCCCGTGCATTGCGTTTGATTCGAGCGAAAAGCGAAGTTATAGCGCGTTTACGATCCCTGCTCCAACGTTTATCGCCTTCTCGTTCTGGAACACAGGCGACAGCTATAAGAAGGGGATGGTGATGTTCAAGTTCCTGGTTTACTATTCTATACCGTTCCTCGTGATAACTGGATTCTACCTGGGGATGGCGCGGCACCTTGAACTCTCCACCAGGAACATGCCAGGGGAACTGTCCACCGGATGTCATCGCATGGAGCAGATTAGAGCCCGCAAGAAGGTACAGTAGCGAAAAATTTTTAAATTGCTCGCAAATCGACGGAGAAGTTTGTCAAATGGGTATATCGAGCGTGGGAACGAAATAAGTAATTAGTCAGGATTTACCGCAGACCCGAGTCTTTGATAGAATTATCGCGATCCCCTATTTACCTGATCTCCGTGTAATCGATAATAAGATTGCGCGATATAACGTTGATTATGCGATAGGCGGTTGGGCTACCTGTGAAGCAAGCGAGTGCACAACTCGAGGAACACGGCGTAATTTCCGGGAAAGGAGGCTAATTATTTTATAAATCGATTTGGATCAGGGTTCCCGAGTACTGACGCTGGCTTGGAGCCTATTACACTTTCCCCATTGTATCCGAATGAAAAGCGACGGTCGATCGCATCGAATTACACTGATACGTCGGCCACCAGAAGTTTCTTATATCGAACGTGCCAAGCCTTCGGCTTCGTTGCTTCATTTCGTACTACCTGAAGAAACTCGAGCAAGATATAAAAAGAATTCCTTTCGAGCAGGTTGCGTGTCATTTACAACGCTGATGACTCGGAGGATCGTTATCAATAATGATACTCGTTGTTATCAAAAGCGATGTACTATCTGGATTAACGTATTATCTAAGAAAAATTTTCTCTTCGAAATCTTCCCGGTCTCTTGAAAAATTAATGGAAATAACAATATTATTATGATGAATAATAAGACAGCGATAATAGTTATCGTTTTTGATAATGTACACTCTTCGATTTTCATTTCGACGAAGTGTTCGATTTTTAATTCCATCGTCAACGATATTTTTAACGAAGTACACGTCAACAGTGCTGTTATCACAGGTGTTATCTTAACGTTCCACTTAAAAGTGACTTTCTTGCCTCGTCTCGCTCCGAATCATTCGATACAAGATGGCAGCGAAGCGTGGCGAACGAAGATAAGATGAAACCTTTCAGCCATCGTTCTCACCTTTGCTTCTTCCGTGTTCTCATTCGTCAAGCCCACTCAGCTGTCCTCTAATACGTTTCGATAACGAGGAACGTTGTATTTGCCTACGTTTCGCGGAACAGAATTTCGCGTCCTATCGTTGCTATTTCGCGAAACAATGCGGACAAATAATACAATCGATTAACCTATAAATACGCCGATGACAAATCGCTGCTTGATAACGGCTGGGAATTACGCCTGGCCGAGATTCAATTTAACCGGTATCTCCTGCCAATCCTCTCCAAGAAATACTGCACGCGATTCCAAATGATCCATTCGCCCGAATGAGTTCCCGTTATCGCTTCTGTATTTTTCGTAGCCACCACAATATCTCTCCTCTCCCTGGATTCCGCGTTCAGTTGCAAAAAGTCTATATTTCTACCACGGTCCGTTTCCCCTAATCTATATTTATTTCGCTGATAAGGGACACTTGAATCGAGAAGGTTAGGCGACGAATTGAAAAATTTATCGCGTGTAATATTTTAAAACACGGCGTGAAAGCGAAAGGTATTATCAGAGCTTTGCAACGAAACAAGTGTCGCGTTTCGTTGATCAACCATTCGATTATCTCGATTTAACGTTTTCGAATTTTAATCGTTGGTTCGTCGTGATAGGTCGGGAAGATGGTTATCGCGCTCGTGGTGATCTTCTTCATTTGCTTCCTACCCTATCACGTGTTTATGCTGTGGTACCACTTTTGCCCGTCATCCGAGGAGGACTACGATGATTTTTGGCACGCTTTGAGGATCATCGGTTTCTGCTTGAGTTTCCTCAACAGCTGCGTCAATCCGATCGCTCTCTACTTCGTCAGCGGAATTTTTCGCAAAAGGCGAGTATATCGAGATAAACGATTGAAAACCGAAGACGTTGGTCGGCTTTGATCGGTGATCCGCAAATAAACCGGTGATTCGCGTGTGAAACGCTGTGCATGGCAGATGGATGAACAGAAATTTTGCTTGCAGGTTCAACAAATACCTCTGCTGTCGCCTGTCGAGGAGGTCTCTAAGCGTCTGTCGAACAGAGACGACAGACAGTACAGACAGGAACGGTAATCGGGAAGCGAATTTCTCGCAGAGGCGACGCGCTTGTGGGCGAGACACTCTCAATGAAACCAGCTTCGGCTCCACGTTTCGCAGGCACACTCAGAAACTGAATTCGACGGCTCTCTACGAGCTAGCTAGCGAAGAAACCACGAGACAGACTTGAGACGCTGAATCGTAAATAATCTCGTGAGAACGAGCCCGAGGTACAAGAACGGAGGAGACGTCAACGGAGATGCTGTTGAGAATTGAGGACCATTTGGTAACATCGGATCTAAGATAGATTTACTATGAATGTTTCAATTATGTAACGCCGAAGGAACGTGCAGAGACTGCGAGAGATACCCGAGAGCGAATCGGGTTCCTCGTAGCCACGATATTCGCGAATCTGCCCGCGAACCGCGATGATTTTTTACTCGATCGATCGACGGATCGATCGACGAAAGTACTCGCGGCTATAGTCTTAGAAGCGTAACTTAGGAATTTTCAACGTCGTTCGTATAATTAATTTAAGCTAATGGAGCAAAGATACCATGACTCTGGTGCGAATCGCTGCTCGATGGAACACGTACTCGAAACTAAACCACCGATGCGGAGAACACTTTCGACCAATTTCTCTGTTCCATCGCTCTGCTCTTCGCTCAAATAGGCAACTCGAGCACGTAACAAGGAGACAATGGGACAGCGTGCTCGAAGTAAACTGTAACAACATTCCAAACGCTTTCAACAATTTCGATCATTAGACTAATCGTCTAGGGCGAATCTGGGCTACCTTCCGCATGGCTGTTAAGTACACCGATGGATCTGTAGAATAAGTTGCAATTTCCTGGCGAAAATCGACCACCTTTATCGAACCTCGATCATCCTGTTCTCGGATCACGCGATGGAAGGAATTAATTCAACCCTGCCTGTCGATACCCTTGGCCGGTTGCACCCCTTTTTTCCGCCACCCTGCCACCCTACTCTCTTACCCTTATCGTACTCGCTGCGTCGTTCCCGAATGAAACCGTTCGACGGATTGCATCGCGGCGAACTGTACAACATAAGAGAGGAGAGGATTCCCGGCGTTATTGAATCGCGTCGCGAGATTTAATTAGTGAGACGAATAGAAGGGATTCTATGCATTAATCGCGTTCTGTCTGACGACCTTGCACCCTTCGCTTGTTAATCGAGAATTCCTGTTTGACGTGCACCCCTGTTAACAGGATTTAGTATCGCACGTCTATTGGCCATCGCGTTTCCCTGCGTTATAGACGTTCTCGTCGTACAGATAACGCCTGGACGTCTTCTCGATGCCCCTATTATAACTGTAATTAGGCCACGCAGCGGCGGAAGCGTTTCCAAGTGAATCGATAGGAGGTTGGAATATGTATATTAAACGCCCGGACCCAAGCAACTGTGCTGTGCACCTCTAATCCTTTTCTGTGGCTCGAATAAAAATTCATTTAACCGGACCGGAGAAGGTTTGTTATTCCCATTGAGCCAGCGCGCCGTTCTCCGCAACGACGTCGTTTTACAAAACACGGGGGAAAGGGGTGAAAAAGATAAACGAAGCAGCTCCACGGGACAGTCGTTTCGGGAGTTCTTGCTTCGCTGGGACCCGTGGAAAATGTTACGAATGCGCGGCTGGATAACGCTCGTGGAAGTAGGACGTGGTCCGGTAAGCAAAAACGCATAATCGTGAGAAAAAGTTTCAGCCGTAGTCGCGAAAATAATTATATCCTTTCGGATTTATCTGCGCGAGGAAAGAAAAGGGAGGAAAAAGAATACTCGTTATCCTACCGGACAATCTTGTTCCGGTTTTAGACGGAAACCGACTTCGGGAATCGATGGGAACCGGTTAGAGCCTTAGATTTATCGGCTTTATCCCCGCGATCTTTCGTGAAACGGGTAACAAATGCCGTCCCAGGGCCACTGTGTTCCGTTCGCAACGTATTCCGTTGAAGTTTCTAGGAAGGGACGCGTGCCAGCCGCTTTTATCGGGCACAGGGCACGCGTCGAGCAAACAGGGGTTCCCGGTACAATGGTCCGCATCTGCAGGGGTGTCGTAGAGCAAGGGGCACGTTTCCAGGGTTTTTGAGGGGACTGGAGGGGGTGAAGCCATGGCAAACCGTCACCCTCGCAGCAGTCGTTGCTCGTGGCAAGGGTCGCTGCGATTCGGACGTGGTTAGTCGATGCCGATCGACGCCAGTCAACGGTCCTTTCCTGCTTTCCCAGCCGCGTTCCGTGGTCCGGGGAAAGTACCCTTTGGGGGAACAAGGAGAAGAGGTTGGATGGACAAAAGAGCCATTAGCTCAGAGGGGAAACATCTCTGATCCGGGAAGAAGAAAGAAGCGGCAGCGGCTTAAGCGAAGACCGAGGGCACGAAATTATTTTTGGTCGCTGTTACTCGAGTGCTGTTGTTAGTCCAAGGAAGTGTTATCGCGCGAACACGGCTGCGAAAGGTGGGTCGATGCTGAAGTTCCTCCGAGTTGCATCGGGATTTCGGTAAAGATGAAAAGATACTCATCGGTAAGTGATTTTCCCGATCCAAGTGCCTCGTGCGCGAGTTTGTTTCTAATCTTGTCGTTTCGCTGCACCCTCGAACAGGCACCCTGTTTGGCTGATGGAAACAGCGACAGCAAGAAGGCGAAATCGATGGAGGTAAATTGGAAGTGGGAAAACAAGAATTCCGATTACGAGTGAAATATTATTGATATTCGAACGCGTAAGATATAAACCGTGGGTAATTTACCAGTGTAAATCCACAAGCGATGTTTATACAGGAGCCGAACGCCAGGGAGTATCTGCAGTTGGCGCTGGCCAGAGTGCTGGAGCTCCAACGAGAGATCAAAGAGGGAACGTACACGACGGACCACACCAGCGACCTCGGTAACATTGATTTATCCGATAAATTCACCGATCTTCCATACGTTTCCCTCTCACCCTCCTTTACCGTGGCCGTTACGTAATTCCTAGAACTCGCAACTTTTCCCGAGCATCTCATATTTGTCCCGCTTCTGTGAAAGTTATTTCCAACACTCCAACTAGCTTCTCGATAAGCTGACAGTTGTACAACTTTGGCGATATCGTATTCCCGAATATTACATTCCCGTTCAACTTTATTTCACTACTTGTCGAGGCTAATTGGACGAACGTTGAGAAAGTTTGCATGTGGAAATTGTTTACCAGGCGAGTCCAGCAGCGAGGAAGACCTGACGAAAGAAGTCCTTCGCAAAGTCTTCCAGAATCTTCCAGGAACACCCGACTCGGTCGGGACGATCGTGAACAGAGTTTCCAAGCCGAAAAGATCTCAGTTAGACGCGATTCGGGGTAAGAGGATTCAGCTGCTGGGCTACGATACCTGTCGCAGAGCCGCGGTGGAGTTCATGAAGGACGCGGTTCGCGAGACAGGTCGAGAGGCAACGTCGAAATCGTTTCGATCGAATTGCTCTGGATTCCGCGTGGGAACCTACTCGAGGAACGAGCCGAGAATGGCGCATCGTAGAACAGGATTGTGGAAGAGTTCCTCGTTCTGCGAGCAAGAAATCCGCGACAGAATGCTGCGGAGCTTGGACTTACACTTGGCCAACAAACAGAGAGACTACACGGCTAACCTAATGAGGTCGGGTATATAGAATCGACTACTTCGCAACGTTTTGAAATATTTTTACACGTATCGATTAATCCTCCTCGTTCTCGTATAATTAAGATGCTTCTTGCGTTTTCATCAGGGTCTCGAGTAGCGTTTAACGATGTTTGATCTAGTCAGATTTAGGTATCGAAAGCTGTACCTGTTTCATAGGAATCATTCTAGTCACACAGGCGAGTCATCGAATTCTAACTGCGAAAGTCGCACCATGCGAATTATTTTTATACAGTATATAGATGTACGTAATATATATACCAGCGTAATGTGCATTACAATTAAATTATCGCGTGAATAGTAATTTATGTACCTTAGAACTGTGGGTGTGGATTGTCGTGAACGAAGGTACTGCGGTGTTTTGTAAAAAATCATTTATTCGTAATGTACAATTAAAAAAAAACAAACAAAAGACTTGAGAAGTATCTACAATACGACTTAAACATCTAATAACGCTCCTTAATCTTTCATTCCGTTTGTCGTAGCAAAATAATAAAGAAAATAATGTCAAAATGTTCGCCAATTGATCGACTAGATGACTGTTGTCGTTTGCTTCGCGAAAATCAAAGAGAAACAATGTTGCTGACCACAGAGACACGTTCGACGTTCTATGAAAAATAAATTTCCTCCCTGTCCTGCCGTTTCTTAATAAGTAGACCACAGTGCAGCTTATTTCTTCCTCAATTCGCACTCCGCATTCGCGAATCTTCGAAAATTTCTGGCAGATTCTCGAAGATTTCCACGATATGCCTAACGAAGCATTCTGTGCACTTGTACGATTCGCGATAGTTAGACCTAACCCTAATCGAAACGCGATATATCGACGGAAGAACGCGTCTCTCGAATAGCAACGTCAATCTTTTGTTTCTAACAGCCCCAATCGATTGTTTCTCGCAGTTTTGTCGTAGAGAAAAATATCTTTGCTCGAATGCTGCTTTGAAGTTTCTTGAAAGACAACGCAACGTTGACAGTTCCTCGCATACACCGTCGATTCTGTGCGCGAACGTGCACTTCCGTCGAAAACGTCATTTCTGTATCCGTCGTTACAGTTCTCAAATTAGAATAACGATACAAAAGTCGTGTTTCGCGTCCACATTGTTAAAAATTAGTGCCTCCTAGTGCACCTCGCGAGTTTAAAATTCTCTAAGACAAATAACATCCACGCGTGAAATGTTCATGCAAAGTTAAGCCTGCTCAGCGTAGACTGGCGAAAGCTTTGGGTCGCTATCTAATTTGCTATCCGCTACGTCTCTAGCTGCGATCACTGTCTCACTACAAAATCGTTATGCGAACGCCACGAAAGAGTAGGGACATCTGGAGAAAGATGACACGATTGGCTTATTAAATCGTGTCAATCGTCGATTTGATAAATTTCCTGCGCGAAGGGAGACTCGTCAGAGCTTAGATTCGTGTGAACATCGACACAGACGGATTCGAACGAGGAAAGAGATTTAAACGTTCGAGATATTGGTTACGAAGCTCGATAATCTTTCGAACGGAGCATGAACGGTGATGCGTGTACGCGAGGCCACGATAATCCGGATTGACGATCGGATGTGAAATCGTGGCCCGAGCAGCTGTCTTTTCCATTATTACGATACAAATACAGTAGAAATTAAAATACGTGTCGTATGATCTACGCCTACGATATATTATAACTAATACAACATCGTTTAAACTGCCTATAATTCCTAACGATAACTAAACTGCTTAAACGTAACGTATAGAGGGCTCCAGCAGCAGGATACATGGTTGCTGCCAATGAAAACAGGGTAGACGAAGAAAATCTGACGGATAAAGAATCTCTCGCGAGAAAAGCCGAGTTCTGGACGTTATCGCGGATCGCTGAGCGATCCTCAGTGTTGCTGCACGAGAGTAGGTCCGCTGCCAGGATTTCTCCAGGGATCAGGGATGTCGAAATGCGGTGGGACCGTGATCAGAGCGTCATCCGCGGTTCTGTCGGGGCTACAGTTTTTTGGCTTCACTCGAGTCGTGTTCACGCACTCGATGGGTAGCTTAAAAAACTCCAGCTTGTAATTGTAGCCCTGACTGCTGACTCTGATGATGGTGTGCAACGGCACCTCCATGTAGGGCAGCTCCTTCGGCTTCTTGTCCATGAAGTAGCCGATGATGCAACGCAGTATAGCTTGGTGGGAGACCACCAGGATGTTGTTGGACCTCTGTAGCTCGGCGATCACCGGGTCTACGCGTTGCATCGCGTCTATGTAGCTTTCTCCCCATGGATAGCGATAGCATAGCTTGTCCTGATCGCGCCACGCAAATTCCTGAGCAAAAGAATCGACAGATAAGTTCGTTTCGATCGAATCCTCTCGAAATCCCTGTGTCTCATCGAGACTCGCGCGAGCCGAGTCTGTAATTATCAGACATGGTTCTTTGAATTAAGCCAGACGAAGATACCCTGTGAGAGATAACGTAACTAATTCCTACTCGACAGCCATGTCAAACAAAGTGATCCAGGGTACGATAAAGGAAAGCTGGCTTACTTCATAGAGCTTGGAATCATAGATAAAAGATTAAAGAGAACTCGGACATGTCTCGATCACTACCTGCGGGTAATGTTCTTGCATTTCCTCGTAAGAAAGACCCTCGCAGACTCCAGCGTAGAGCTCGTTGAGTGCTGCCACGTGTTCCTGTGGCGCCTCGACGCCACGTGCAGTCGCGATAGTTCTTCGAAGGCGACTGGTCAACACGCGCAGATCAGGAATACGCATTGCGTTGAACTTTGAAGCCAATGCTTGAGCGTATCTCTCGCCTCTTGGGCTCAACACCGCGTCGCCGCCGACCTTACCCAACACGTTGTACTCGCTTTCACCGTGCTGCAATTGAGAAACAGTTCTACTTCCACATTTCGCTGAAATTCGGTACGTTCGGGAAAAATTAGGTACACTCGACATGCAAGGCACGCTACGATAAGTCGAGTCAGATAAGCATTAACGTTAGACCTCGTCGAACAGATAACTCGAAAATTTATAAGTTTTAGGAACAGATCTAGATAAGATAGCGAAATTCTGGAAACACGTAGAAAACACTGTGTTCAAACGATACACAGGACACGTCATGCAATTAGTTCATTGCAGATAAAGTGCTTAGTGCGTTAATCTGTTCGATTGTTAGAGGCCTCACGACCTGTCTCAACTTCCTCGCACGCCTTGTAGTTTCAAAACAAACATGCCTTTTGAATTAAAAGGCTCGCGAATCTTTTTCACGGGCATTAAGCCGTGTCGAATGAATAATCAAGCAGGAGTTACCAACCCGTGAGAAATAAAGAGTATGCGGCTTAATCGTGACGCTTCCTAGATATCCCAGCACGCTGGACTCTATGTGGCCGGACACCTTGCAAGTCTCGATGTCCATGCTGCCAGTGTCGATACGAATTCGAGGATACGTCTTTTCGTCCATCGGCTCGTAGGATCGAACGTAGTGGGCTACCTTGAGCCGTAGGTCCTCTTCGGCCTGTATCGGGTCCATGTCAGCGTAGTCGTCGCTGTACCGCAATATCTCCTTGTAATTTCTCTCCAGCAGGACCGAATCTTCGCAGACGCACTCGATGAAAAGGACGCGATAACCGAGTTGCCCGGAAAAATAGTCGAAGACCTCGGCGCGCTGCGCTCGTGTCACCAGCGTGGCGTCCAGGATCTTCAAACAGGAAAATTCTTAAAACTAATTGCGTCGATTCGCGTACAAAGTTCGCGATATTTCGTTCCACGCGTTCTACGTACTAACATGTGTATAGCTCGTGTGTCGTTTCTTTTTCTCTTTATTTTACATGTGGGAATGGATTATCGCTCTGTACGAATTCGCACGTGTTAGTTTCTCTTGGATTCCTACGCCTAGTGTTCGCGTGTGTGTACGTGAAGAGAGTAACGGGAGAATTTGAAGCTATCTGCGACATGGCGGGCCGTTGCGGTTTCTAACGAGAAACTTTAGCACAGGTCGTTGGAAAAATTAGTCAGGCAAAACTCGTACGACGAGATTCGGTTCGACTCGGCGGAGAAAGGTGGACTGGCTCGACCAGATTGTCTTTAATCGCGTCGATAGCGTTAACGTTTGCACACGAGTCTTGCTCGTTCTATTCCAGTCCACGCTGGACATTGGGAAAAGAATTCTTGCATTCTCTTCGGTTCCGATTTTCGACCCATTTCGACTCCGTTTCGATCAAATGCTATCGCGTACGTCCTCGGTTTCGTTTCGCTATTGGATTCATTTGCAGACCAACGAGCCGTGCAATTTCACGCTTTCGCCAGTCGTCTGGCTCGCGTCTAATTTGCTCGAAATGCTTACAGCTACGGAATTCCCGCCTGCGAGCCACGCGGCGCAGTCGTGCATCGCGTCTCGTTGGGCCAGGGCTCTCAATGTTGCGTTCGCCGTGTGATCCGGACGAAACAGCTCGTGCGACACCGCCTCTCCGTATGGCTGCACTCTTTTTCTCCGATAGTCGCTCACCTTCATCACTGCAAACATATTTCCAATGCGGTTCATTCGTCATTACTCTCGAAACGTCGCGAGCTGGGGATATCAAGCAGGGAACAAAGGACGTGGAGAACGGTAGAGACGAATTTATGACGATACCAAAAGTTTCTTAACGTCCATCGTTTTAAATTAAGAAAAATTCCCGGTTGGCATATCGATTTAGACTTCCAGATTTGGAAGACTCGGGGAAAGAGGTTTCCATCTCTCGAAGAGGCTGCGAGTGGTGAAATTAGGGGAAAACCACTGACGAGGACGAGCATAGAAGCGCGTAGTAAAAAAGGAATCGAGGAAAGGAATTTTTCCAAGCAGAGTCATAGGTCACCGGCGTTGGATTACGTAACGAGCTTGCCAACAGGCATATGCAACGAATGCACTTTGCGGCCGTGCTGACAGGAAAAATGCAAAGACTAGGAAAGGGGGAATTAATCATGTCAATGAGGTCTGTCACTTGTTTGCGATATATTCGTGGAGAAGTGAGTCGAAAAAACGAAGGAAAAACAAGGTAATAAAAGGCAGGCTGAAAATAGCGTTACGAAATTGCTAGTCCCTCCAGATGTGCGCTTGGTTTGATGAACAGGTTTCTTTTTCAGGCGTAGTAATCGACAATGAACAAAGCTGCATTCCCCACCTTTAGTGGAATCGCCATTCCAGTTGAGCCTGCGCGAAAGGCATTGAGCCACTTGGCTTTTTCCACGGGCTGGAAGGCCGCACATGGCGATCACAACCCCTGCGAATTTGCGCGGCGATTTCGTTATTCCCGGCGCCCTCACCATTTTGTCCTTGCCGGGTTCTGAAAACAAGAGAGTCTACGATGAGTCATCGGTTTCGTTGTTACACGCGTGCTTCCATTTTGCCACGCGTCACCATTCCGACATTTTGATCGAAACACACTTCGTGCAACAAAGACGCGAATGCATATGTCCCGCGTAAATTTAACGACACGCGATTGAAATAGACGTAAGAATTTTTGTAAAGCGTTCCCTTGCACCAGCTTCTTATATATCATGATCCACTTTAGTAGATGCACCAAAGTGACGGTGATGAACCTGGCGTGGCGCCAGGCTAGCCGTACCAGCCATCATCCGAACGATCATTAGCGACATTACGCGTGTGGCGTAGCTCGAAACGAGATGGTAATGCGAGTAAAAAAGGAGGAAAAAATTTCTTAAATTAATCGCATCCTTCCTATCTACTTCGATAGAACTAGCCTTTACTTTCCTTCCGAAAAACTGGTGAAAGCTTGAAAGTATTTTCCCTGGTCCGTGAAACTAGAATATTTAGTCTTCCGCGAAAAGAAACGAAAAGAAGCGTAACAACACGTACAAAGAAGCGTATATCGCGAAATTGCATGCACAGAGATTCGAACGAGCGAATCTCTTTTCGTTCTTACATCGAGATCAAGATGTCCTTCGCTATCGATCGGTCGAGGAACAAACGAGAACGACCCTTACCGATTACACACATGTTTGCAGCTGTGCTCTATTAACTACGTTAACGTTCAGGCCCTCGAGTGTGCACCAAAGTTGGCTGGATAACGGTGAATGCGTTTCAATGATACCACCGGTGAAACTGCTCGCAAGCGTGCGAATTTCCTCCGAGTACTGACTACTTCCCGTTGGGCCCCACCGAGCGTCGGTGAACTTTATATTTAGAATTCTCGTCTTACACGAGTGCTTTTGGCTGCACTTTCGCGACACCCGATTCCTTCGCGGTATTAACCTCAGCGACAAGCTTCTTCGATTCGCCGATTTTCTCGCTATCGATACGCCCACGCGTCTTCGGTTCCCACATGTCCCTCGTATGTACGCCCACGTATGTACATCACGCGTACGTATACGCGGACGAAGACACAGATGCAAGTTCCGAGACTCTCTTTCTTATCAACCAGCATCGCTATGATCTACGAAGTGGTTGAAAGTTCATACGCGAAAATAAGTACGAAGACCTCGGCAACGATAAAATTAACTCGCTGTTTACGGCATGAAGCGAACGCGAATGGCACACCAGCGCGCAGGAATAAAAAGTTATCGAGGTTCCGTGAAAAATGCTCGGATAACAGAGGGAAACGCGCGTCATCGTGACTATTTCGATCCTCCGTGTTTTTAAACGCAACAATCGAAGCTCGAAAGGTGATAAGGTTACTGCACTTGAACTAATTTAGCAAAACTCGAGAGATTTTTCGCCATAAGCGAAAACACGTCCGCCACGAAACAGTTTCGTCATTCCCCGATAACTGGCGACGTTTTTACTCGCCTATCTGTTTGTTTCGGCTAGCTCGAGTCAACAAAATTAATTACGAATTAGTTCCCTTGATCTCGGGATCAAGGAGTCTTGTTACACACGTCGCTTTCAACCGACGATTAATGCGAATCATCGATCGACTCATCGTTACCGAAGACGAAACACACCGGAAACGGAAGTTACACGACAATGAGGATCATACGATTGAATTAGCAATTTCGTAATTCCGATAGTTTCGAATATCGTTAACGCGAGAACCGTCGTCGATCGGTACCGAGGTCTGTATGGTCGAGAACAATTCTACGAAGAATCTCCATGAAACCAGCACTTTAATAGTTCGTGCGTTGACCTGAGACGCGTCGTCACTCGGTTCATTATTCAAGCGTTGAATCGTCACGACCTCACGCACGTGTGTGTGCGGTCCACGCGTTACTCGCGTCGATGAACGCGTGAATATTAATCAACGGAAAATTATAATTCGAGATGATATCGCGCCTGTCTGAGCAGATATCGTCGCCAGCCGTCTAAACAACGTTCCAGACTTAAGTTTACCGCGGAGAAAACGAATGATTCGTCGTCGAGTCGAATTATTATGTCCCTGTTAAGCGAGGGATAGCGTACGAGGGATCGTACGAGCGATCGCCACCCCCGTCCTCGCGCGTTGCAACGTAGAGGGTGGCGAGTAAGGTCAGTGGTGGAAAATCGATGACTGGTCCTTCGGAGAAAGCTGGCAAGCTGGGTTTGGAGCATAAGAAACGATCAATGCACCGACTCACGCACGGGTGTCGTGTGTCCAAAGCTCCCTGCAAGATTCGACGAGCAAGGAGAATGGTTAGGAAGGTTTAGAAGAATTGGAAAGCACTTGAGCGAGATAACGCCCGTTATCCGGAGAACCTCGTACGATAGTTTTGACGGAAAGATAAAAAAAGAAGCGCTCGATAAGGAACTGGTAGCGACTCGAAGATAAAGAGCATTTGCGTCAAGCGATCGTGAACGCGTTACGATACGTCTCTCACAACGTGCACTGTTTTGCCGCTGGTATTTATACAGCGTGCGTATCCACAAGGACAATATAAATAATTGACGTGTGCTAACAAAAGTGCACGTGCAACAATTACGCACGGCTGCGCACGAAGGTGGCATTTGAGAGAATCACGAGTCGTGCACCCTCGATCATGGCGGCCGAGGTGTCTTTAGGCATTATTAGCCGGTGCAGTTTGCGGTCTCTGCATTGCAGTTTTCCGTTTCACACGCGGCATTAATAATATCCTCGGTACGATATCCTTGACGAGATTTTTCCTTTCCATTCCCTTCCCCTTTCGCTCTCGCGCCGCCATTTAATCCTTTCACGCCTTATCGCGAGGCAAACGTAACAACGCTCGATGAATTCTCACCTGCTCATCGCGATCAGCGAAGAATTCGTCGTATCGAACGATGCCAGGTTTAAGTCTCGATTAGATACGCGGATTAATGGAATATCTCGTCATAATACCGGACAAGCCTCTATTGACGCGATAATTGCCGACTGGAAAATCTCGCGCGCGTGCTGTTACTCGAAGTACAACGAAAGTCGAATATTTTTCCTCTATCGACGCGAAATTCCGTCATAGCTATTAACTCATGTGTGGTTCGCTTTATCGTAAACATTATCGTCGGATTATACCGAACACCACCAATTATACCGGCCTTCGACTTCGTCTGCTCTTAAATAATCCGTATTCATTTACGAACAGCGACCGAGGCCACGTCTGCAAGAAAAACGAACTCGCGTGAAACGAACACGGTTTCTTTCAGGACTCCCTCCTTTTCCTGCGTGCTCGAACAAAAGAGGCTGTATAAATATGATTCTCGCGTTTCTTAGTTCATATTCTTGTCAGTAAATCGCTTCCATGGCTGAACACCGTCTCGCGAGCGACGTGTTTCTCATTGATACGGAATTTTTATCGTCGTTGAAGGAAAAAGCGGAGGCACTGCCTTTAGAATGCAGAAACGCCTCCCTGGGGACGGCTCGGTGATTGGTATGACTGGTTCTGTGATAAATGGAAGGAAAACGATACCATTTATCAGTGCATACTAATATTTAAAAAGAGCTCGTAAATTTAGCACTTTATCTGGTCGTGTAGTTTCCTTCTCGGACGCGAAACTTTTTCCTATTGTCCCTTTCACGCTTTTATTATCACTCACCGATGAAAGCGACTGGCTTATCTGTATTCGAGTTATTTATTACGCTAAGCATTTTTTACTCCTCTCGCGAGTTCCGAACGAGCGACAAGGATCTCTATTTGCAACCCGTTTTATTTATAGCGGACACACCGATTTGGTACAGAGCTCTCGAGGTTCGTGAATCCGTGGCCTGATTTCGCGGGAATTTCGATGTAACAGAGATAATGTTCTCTCCCTGACACGATTCCAGCCCGAAATGCCCGGATAAAACGTGTCGCGCGGAGCTGAGCGAGGTAAAGTGGGGATCTACTGGTGCTGTACCGACGCGGGATTTCGCGTTTATTTTCGACGAACGTTGCATTTCTTCGTTGCATTTTTACACGACGTATGATCGCGGCAGCTGCGTTGCATAATAAGCAGTAACGCGTTGCCTTCGAATTGCACGATAAGGTAACCGCGTCCCTGTCCGATATTTCGCAACACGGTTATCAATTGAAATGCTATTCGATAACAGAGTACCCTATCGAATTTATCGAACGTGGTCTGAGCGTACGAGTAAACAATACCAACTAGAAGAAACTCGTATTACTAGTGTCCCATATAATTATTTTACCTTGGCGCTGTTCCTCGGCACTCGGAGCCATGGTGTGAGCGCTCAATGAGGTCTCCTTCTGTTTACTCGACGTGTTGGATGCGTTAGCTGCCTGTGTCGCGATCGATGCTTTCTTCTTCGAAGATGCCGGCTTGCAGTGCGAGTTTGCTCACGGCCAGACAGTAACCCAGAATCGGAGCCGCCAGCAGGTCAAAAGGTGCGGCGACCCAGGGCATAACCCGACGAGAAACTATCCGGTAGGGTCCTCGGTTTCCCAGCAGGAACAATGTATAGAGCAGCAGGTAAACGGAGAGCAGAGATCCAACGATGGGAAGTATGAAAGCGATGCTGGCAACGCTTTTGCTTGAAATATCCAGCGAGCAAGAGCCCTCTATTTATACGAAATACTCGAAAACTGTCTTCTATCGCAACTTCTCTTTTTCTCTCTTCTGCCGTTCACTCTTTGGCTATAGTTCTTCCGAAAAATGGTCGCTGCTCGTGTGCCGTATTATGGACAACAGGTCCTCCCTCATTCCAATTTGCTTGATCCTCACCTCCGGAGCCAGTTTGCGTGCTTCTTTGTCTTGGCTCGAAGGAAAGCACAGAACTCCGATGTTTCTTGCTCGACTTGTCGCTAACCTTTCTTCCCTCGATCTACCTGATCGTGTAATAGTCCCCGATCTCTCTATCACGTTGCTATCTACCTTTATAAACGTTGTTGCTACGGATCGTTGGCTATGCGCAGGCGCTGGTATTTGCTAGTAGTTTACATAGTCACAGTGCTGCCCCACCGTCCACTTGCACGCCGGTGTTCCCTTTTCGTCTCCTCTTCCACTCTGCCTTCGTTATATTTCTACGTATCTTCTACCTCACCCTCTTGGTCGTTTCCTCTCCCGTTCACGCCCACGACAACGTGGTTTCACTTCGACACTTAGCTGAATCGTCCGATAGAGAATCAGTTCTCGTCCGACCGGTTTGCAAGATTAATTTAATCCACCAAGACCTTCGGTGTTGCTCTCTCGGATTCGACTGTCGATTCGCCCAGAGTCGCAGCAATCCGTCGATACCACCGGCTTCCTCGCACAGTATGTTAAATGGAAACCAGCCTGATGATGCCTCGCGGCTACGAGCGCATGAAACTGTTGAAGCGAACGAAATGGAAACGGAGCAGAAATAGCTTTCCTCACGTGGAAACGTTGTCTCGATACAGGTCGAGGAGGTTCCAGAGACTGGTGTTCCTTTATTTGCTGCAGCTCTTAGCAACATCGACCCGGACCTGGTAGGCGCCCTCTGTTGAAACTAGCCAATCAACGATTCGCTGACCCCTCTACTCCTATACCAGTAACGATGTTGCGACCACGTCGAATGTGCGCACGTTTACCAACAAAACGTTGATATTTATCTGGCCAGGATAGTATTATACAGTATTATAAAGTGATTTACCGTATAATATTCCACGGGATAGACCTGGAAAATATCGAACGGAAATTGTCCAGGCATTCGCTGACATTCTTCCTGCGTCAAGTTGACCGGAGCGAAGAAAATAACAGTCATAGGCGTCTATAGGTGTTGTTGCTTTGAATTTGAACGATCGCTCAGCGATTCTCAGGTATGTTTATTCTCGTCACCTAATCCTACCCGTTACCTCGACTTTGAGTTACGAGAACCGGTCGAATTAGAAGCAACGGTGTATTGATTCTTCAAACGGTGACAAGAACGAGCATCGTTCTTAAGAGGCCAATTAGGTTCGCTTTCCGTTCATGAGAATTGCTACCAGAACATTCCTCCCGTCTCGTTCCTGGTTTCAATCTCATTCCTCGTAAATTATCGCCGTAATATGTCGCGTAATACTTAATTGCACGGCTTAAACATTCGCTCTTGTTTGCGGGCGTATGTTCAACGTCATCGTGCATTATTTATTGCACGCAAACCAAAACACCGACATCTATAGCGCGGTTCGTTCGAATCTAACCCAGAACTGCAATAACAAATGACGATTGTTTACAGGGAAAGTTTGCAAGGTTTGTTTGTTTCGCCAGAATTATGTGACCGCTGGTGCGATATTTGCCCTGATCGCTATCTCCTGTATCGACCCGTTCTTTTTCTTCGCCTGTCAATCGACCAAAGTCCATCTTCGTTTCTACCATTTCTCTGATGATATTCAACGGACACGAGTGGAGCCAGACGCATGCACATTGAGCGTCGTTTAGTTCAGTTAGCAAATGACAGCTCATTATTGACCCGTCAAACCACCACACTCTTCGATCTGCTGAGAATCGTGAAAATTTTCTATGCGTCGAACGTATGGCCGCATTTTCTGAAATCCTTCGTGCACGCTTAATCGCGATGCCCATCGTCGCGTTTCATCCATCAACAACGCGCACGAACGTGAAATGGTAATCATCCGATTGCATAATATCATCGAGGAAATGAGGCACAAGTATTATACCATTTGGATTTATGTGGAAAGCTGGAATTACGGAAATTGCGGTTTCGATTCTGTTAATTGTTTCGCTTAGGAAATATTATTGTTCCGTAAGGATCGCTGAGTCACGAGCTCGAATTCCTAGAACATCTGAATCGGTCACTAAGGAAATATTGGCTGAGGTACAATTTTCTCCTAATTTCCTGTTGATAAATAAGACGTTCGTAATACCAGAAAAAGACCTGTCATGGTCTTACCGCATTTTCGCGGAATAATTGTCGCCATTGTGTCTCGAACTCGTCTCGATTCGCGCAGTATTTTCCCCAAAGTTGCATAAATCATGCTTAGAACACGTGATTCACACGTACTTTCCTCCTAGTTCCATTTAGTCCAATTGTTATTGGAATTTCTCGCGGCATCACGCGTTCAAAATTATGCAGCATTTCGGTGGAAAGCAAGCTTGGATTGCATTTCGCTGAACGCTTATTGAAATTTCTTACATAGCGTAGACCATGCGCAAATAAGGAAAAATTTTTGCATACGTCGAAATATTCGCGTCACGTGTCGAAAACGGAAGATTCCGACTTTCCTTCACCTACGTAAAATGATATCGGACTTCTTAGATCCACGAATTTCCTTGCACGTGATAAACGTATGCCGTGGACGCTGCGTGATAAAATGATGATAGAGGTCATGAACGATCGGGGGTAATGTGAACTGATCTCTAGGTTCTATAACTAAATCGGCACACGCAAGCTCTTAACGTAACTCAATTGAGAAGAGAGCTTCGAATCGTCTAGAAACAGTCGTACTCCGGTTTAGAGGATCCTCGTTCCAAAAGCATTAGTGCCAAGAAGGTGCGCCTTGTCGTTCAATTATTATAAATAGAATAATGTTCCTAACAATCCATTGTATTAACACGCTGACAGTCTATTTGTAAAGTTGACCGATTCTTCTATGGATCGCTTCAAGGCTATTAGTTCCTACGAGTTCTAAAAGGGTATTATTTCAGAAAGCGTGCGTAAAGAATCATCAATGAAATTCAAGGTGACCTTATTACTATAATTTTGAGTATTTTAAGTACTATAAAACTATATACGGAAAGGCAGAAATATAAATAGAATAATGTTATTTTAAGCGTACTTTCATGAAACAGGACAGATTTCGATTTGAATCGTCCGCGTAACGCGGTACTTTCTGCCTCTAGTCTCCAACTGAAACCAGTAGATGGTGCAGCGATACCGAATCGATACGAACTGAAATGGTGACACGCGTCGAGCAGTTCTATCTGTTTTCCTACTCGTGGCGCTACATGCTATAGTGACAGACATCATTTATCGCATCGACACAATATGGCGTTTACACTGTGGACACTTTTCGAAGCGACGGTTTTGTGCTTGAATGCGATTTGTGTCTTGAACGAGAAAAGGTTTCTTGCCAAAGGTATGTTTCTCTTTTGTTATTATGCTTTTTAACCTTTGTTATTACTTGACGGAATTTCTTCCGTCAAGTGTCACATAACAAAATTTCTTGGTTATGTTGACTTCCGTATTTTGACTATGCTTTTTAACCTTTGTTATTTGTTCGCGCGGAATTTCTTCCGTCAAGTGTCACATAACAAAATTTCTTGGTTATGTTGACTTCCGTATTTTGTATTTTATTTATTAAAAACATCAGTATTATACATGTATATTTTTGCTCGTTCAGTATCATTTTTTAATACTTATTTTGAAATTTTTGCAGTTGGTTGGGCAACATGGCAAAATGTTCAAGGTTTCGACGAACCTCCTTCATTTAAATTACAAGTGTTGGATCTTATTTGGTCGATACGAACAGTGGCGCGAGGTAACCACCAAAATTATTTCAATTTATTTTACCATCGGTTTGAATATATGATATATTGTTTGTTACAGTTCCATTGATATTTCTAAATATCATAATAATGATAGTGAAACTGGTGCTCGGGTAATAGGAACAATTAAAAGTGTAAATAAAGGACTGTGCACTGTGAAAAGCCAGAACAGTGATGTACATAAGTGAAGAATTAAATTTCTGAAGAATTAAATTTTTATCTTTGTATTAAAAAGTAACGTGTTTTTAATCTTAGCACGATTTTGCATATTTTTGTAGCACAAGTATTTTAAAAAGTAACAGTATTTCGTCTTCCTTCGATGATAGTTTCTTTCTTCATGTTCTTTCATAAACTGTTAGCTATTTAATCACTAGTTATAAGTTGTCTCATCATCGTAGATCGATTGACATTTTGTCATATCAAAGTGCATACATTTACATATTTAAATACTCATCTGTAACTCATCCAACTCTATAAATTTTTTCAAAATTTTTAAACCATTTTTTTCCATATTATCCAACAGTTCCTGTTCTATCCACATTAAACAACATCCGCTTCCTTCGTTTCGCCAATATCTACAAATAAACTTAAATCAACCGACGAAATTCATACATCTCAACTCTATAATAAGAAGTTCGTCACATGACACCGACATATACCTGTAAGTGACATAATATCGATCATTCGATTTATTTCTTTAAATAATTTCTTGATTAAAAACCATATATTTTCGTTGAAGGAAATAATAGTTACAAATCAATTTGTATTTTAATCGTTCTTTAAATTTTTATTTACACGAATCTCTTGTCCACGTTTCGTTTCGTAAATGTGTGATTTTCTTTTTGATTAGCCAATTGACACTTTTATTTTTGAATACACGGAGAAATTTAGTCGCTAATACGCGCGACGATCGGAAACTTCCGCTGTCGAACGTTTCTTGTCGTGAAGTTTCGAGCGTTCTCTCTCACGGGTAATTTAAATCATAAATCAAGCAACGAGCGGACTGTAAATTATCTTCGACATGGTAGAAGGTGTAGTGTACACCGTGTTGGTAACTAGACAGAACATTTAAGACTGTTGTGTTCATGTGTTTGCAAACGATGCAATGGCGCGCGCGCGCGCGCGCCCGGGAAGCCAATGATTTTCCCGTAACTTTCTCCCCTTCCTCGCTTTCTCAGGGTAGAAGTATCTCCGTGCAGTCAATGAACAAGTGTCAAATGGCATTTGCATTCTTTCATCTATTCCAGCAATTCGATTTTAATCGTATTTAAGTTATATGCAAAAATATACATATGTATCGTATTTTTTACTTCTTTCTCTTTTTTCAGCTATATTTTAAAAATACCAGGTTATATTTAACGGAACATGCTTCGCAATACGAATACATCTGTCTGATCGTAAATAGATTCACGAAGCACGTAAACTTGCAGAAATACACATTTGTTTACATGCAGTCAGCGCTATATTTGCAGCAGTAAATAGGAGATGTCACTCGTTTCAATTTCCACAGTACCGTTTAATTTATGCTCTCGATTAATCTTGGACGCGTTCGCGTTTGATTCGAACGGAAATCGTGAGGCAATATCATAGCAAGTCGGTCACTTCTGTCTGATCTCCTTCACCGTAACTGTTGCAAAGGCGATACACGCGCTTGTGCAACCGACTCGTCCGATTTACACAATTTCTGGGCACGTATGTACCCCCTTAAAATTGCACCGCTTTTTTTCCCTCCCCTCTCATGTCCCTGCCATGGCTGTTAGCGAGACCTGCATTCCCTGAACTGCATCGCGTAATACTTATCGAGTTACATAAGCTTTTCTCACTGGAGAGTTCATCTTTCAGTATTTTCTCATTCCCCCCCTAGCGAGTGACCAGGGTTCCTCTATTCGCTGCAATGAACCGCGAAGGATCCACGCGAACGCGATTTTTCGTGAAATACAAACGTTTTACGTAACGATCCCGAGTTATCCGTTGCCGCGTGTGCGTTCATCGAACACGGAGTACACGTCCACGCGAGATACCAGAAATCATTAGAGCAGCTAAAGATATAATTTAAAGGAGAGAGACAGAAGAGAAAGATATCCGAGGAACTTTCTTGACATCCCAGCGAACGATCTCCTCGGCTGGTTTTTCTCCTTTTTTCCCCGAAAATACGTGAAAGGGTACCAGGAAATTGTCGCTGTCGTCGGCGACGAGTATTCTTGTCACGCCGTAATTAAACCGGAGGTAGGCATCGATATAATTGTCGACGCTGGTAATTGTTAGCCGGTCCCATAATTATAGAAGATGACGTACCCCGGTTAAAACCGTTCGTTAAAAACGCATCCGTTCGCGCGTTAACGAAGTCGGTCCCCGTATGTTGGGCAATCGGCATCAGCTGAAAAGCTTGTGCTCGGGAAACGGGATTAGCGAAAGTAAAACAACGAGCAGGACCATTGTAAACGAACACGTTTTACGAGCCGGCTGCTCGACAAATCCTCTTCCCATAATTGGCCGAGTGGATCGCATTGTGCGTCACCGTGCCCGCGTTTTTCTCTCCTTTCACACGCTGAGACTTCGCTGCTGCTGATGGATCACCCGATCACGCGTTCTCCGGTAGAAAAACTTCAAATTGCAAATTTCTCAGAAGGAAAATTCGTCGATATTTAATCTTATTGAATAACTTGTAATCGACAACTAATTCAAGACGCGAAGAATTTGTTATGCTTATTTTAACGCCTTTTTGCTTTCTAGGTGGCTGTCGATAATGAAATACAGATAGCGATTAATGGGATGCACGGATGCAAGATCGTTTCTCAAATTGAAGATCTTCGAGAATACAGTTTCATCCGTTGTGGAGCACGAATGGATCCAATTGCGTGCGTGTTTTTCCTTCTTTCGCACGGCCACTGCCTGGCAGGCACGTTTATGGATTATGTACGGCTCTTACAAAATTCCACAAAGAGTCTCACAGTTCCTCTTCTCCTCCTCTTTCCCCTTTCTCGACCTCGCCATCCTGACGAAGAGTCGCGGCACTTTCCCTGCTGGACGTCGTACATACGTAAGTCTCTTTAGAATGCTCGAATCCGAATTGATATTCCGATTTTCTCGTTGTTCCACGAAATAACACTTTCTCGGTTACTATTATATCGAACCGTGATCGTGGGTGCCAATTAGTTCTAGGTTCGCCGAGCACTTTTTCGTCGAAACGTAGGAACGCGTTGCTACGTCCACTGCGTGGATCGTCCATTTAGCAATTTCGCGTTGTATACGTTTCGTACGATGCACTTGAAACGTTTCCTGCGCGAAAACAAATGACGAGCATAAAATATGACGGGTTCGTAGTACATAAAGGAGTTGCTCGGCGGTGTTTCAGCCGCGAGGAGCATCCTAGGCAAGGCCCGAAGCCCTGTCACGCAATATCCTCTCCAACCTCTTTTCTGCTCGCACCTTCCGCTCTCTGGATATCAATTTTTCATTGTCTGCGGTATCTTTCTTGCTTCCAACCATCAAATATTTGTTTTATTCGCGTAATGGGTTATTACACGCTCCGTTGTGTAACGCCGTCTTGATTAATCGCGGCAAAGTAATACAGAATATATAGAAACATACATTGTAACGATTTAATTCAGGTCTAGCATGACGATTTATCCTTCGTCATGATGTGCTTAATTGCGCCAGCCCCGCATTGTACCCGATACTCTGGCTGATTACTTAATTCTGGCACTCATTACTCAATTCGTAATTATCCAGAGCGCGGAAATGACGAAGGGACTCATAAAAATGATTATGTTATAAATGACGCGCTACCATTTTAATCATAGCTCGTTTTAACGATCGGTTGGATCCATCACGTTGTATCCACCTCTGTCCCTAATTGAACCTTATGAATCCCATAAAACACGCTCACGAGCTCCTCTAATCGAGGAAATTCCCGAGACTGGCTTCATAATTCCCTTACGTGTACCGATTGCATAAACAACGAAATCTAAACACGCGTAAGTGATTTAACATGGTATATCGCGGCTCATTACTCAGCGTTTAAACGTTTCCACGAGCTAGACGTATTACCGAACGACGACGAGCTCGAGAGTATCCGATAACCCGGATTACTTTCCCATCGAACGATCCATAAAAGTTTAATAACACTGCCCAGAGAGCTTCGTCGATTATTTCACTCTCCAAGGTATGTATGACATTCGATCGTGACTGAAAATCGAGAGTACGTAACACGCTGATCGAGGAACGCGCGAGGAAGGTAGGAGCGAGGAGGACAGCGAGTCGAAGCCACTTTCGAATCCCTGACCGGTGTCCAGACCTCTTCGGTCCGCTTTGCGAGCATCTGTTAAACGTTGCTCGTGAGAATTTGCGTCATGTCCAGGCTGGAGAAGCGCTCGTGGGTCGCTCGGGGGCCTGCGAACGGACCGCGGCGTTGATTCTGATCGGTACAGTGAAAGGAGAAAGGCGCCTGCCGGACGAAAAGGAAAAGGGAAAAAAAATTGGTCGTCTTTAAAGGAGGAGGAATATTCACGTAGCTGCGAGCGCACACCCAGGGATCACGAATGGCTCGTGTAGGACTCTCGTGGTCGTAATTGAGGAAGAGGCAAGATCGATAAGGAAAAGAGAAATTAAGTACGAGGAAGAGAGAAGCGTAATCTCTGTCGGGGTGAAAACGCGTCGGAATTGAAGAGAAGCGGTTTTTTTTTCAACGGTGGCGACGTTTTTTTTTATTTTTTTCTACAAAAAAGCCTTTATACAAGTATAAAAAAAATGCGTGGTTAAGGAGTAGCGTTTAAGACATATAAAAAATATAGTGTATCTGTCGTGTTCTCCTGTGTGTACGTGTGTATTCGTGTCAGCGTCCGCTCCGTTCATCGAGGTGATATTCATTTTTGATACCTCCTTTTTTCCTCCACGATTTCACGTTTCTTCGATCTTCCACGGAATAAAACTGTTAGGCCGGATTCGATGATGTACGCGTTCAGTTCCTCCTCGTACTGTCGAGTGACGCAGCGAACGCTGTGGAAAGCGTGTGTAAATTGTATTTACAAGGCGCGTTCTCGCGCCGATCACGGCTTCGACTTCGGCTCGGGCTTCACGGCTGTGCCATTTCGAAGTCATAACGAATGTAGTAACGTTGAATCTTCTCTGAGATCCGTTTCTATAGCGATTTGTATCTTCTTTTATTATCTTTTGTTTTTCGGCTCGGTTTTTATCACTTAGTACATTGGATCCCGCGTGGATCCGACCGCGACGACGATGATTTTGGTACGATAAGAAATGACACCTCGTCGACGCTCAGATCGTTAAACCTACGGTCGGTCATTCGTGCGTTCAAGTTCACTCCTTCAGCCCTGACCCGTTGAAGCGACGACCATTTTTCCCCAACGGGTTAGCAGCCTGGAGCTTCTGCTACCCCCTAGCACGTACTCTCGCGCGATTCCATCAAGGATCGTGGTCCGTTGAAACGACGACGATTTGATTTCAACGAAGCAGGAGCCTATGGAACCCTTGCTCGATGTTACCTTGTACGTACATCCTTGATTTCATCTTCGTTCTTTACCCCTGAGAATCTTGATTCGTCGAACGATGACGACCTTCGTGTTTGAAAATAGGACCCGTTTTCAATCTTCTAGTATTCTTCTTAACGATCTGCCCTTTTTACGACCACCTTCCGAGCAGGCCCGGGGAGGGAATAGGTTTCGCGTGGAAAAACTTGCTTCTGTGCTCATCCTGTTTCCGCTATTCGTACTCTAAGTCCTGGCTTTCCTTGATCGACCTTAACCGTGTGCCTCCGTTTCATTCGTTAAAAATCTCAGCTCGGAAGGTAGTCGTGGTGGTCGACTGGTGTCCTCACTCGCTCTCTCTCTTTCTCTCCCTCTCTCGCTCTCCCATCATCCAATCTGTGTTTAGTCTGATGACCATTTAGAACGGTGCACCGTAGCTACTGGATGGTCTGCTTGGTACTCCGTAGGATCCGCTAGGTCCGCTTGGGTAGCCACCAACCCCGTGGGTAATTTGGTTGAACTGCGCCACCTGGATGGCCTGCCTGATTCCTTCGAGATCGATGCCTACTACGCGGGTCTGGTAAACCGGTACACCGTAGGTCGAGCTTGGTACACCGTACTGAGTCGATGGAGCACCATAGCTCGAGCTAGGGGCGTAAGTACCACCACCCCCTATAGAACCACTGCTTTGTTCTTCCCTCAGCAAAATTTGACGAATCTGTTCGAGCAGCGCGCCGTCCACCGATGCTCCCTCGCTGGTCTGGTAGCCAGTAGATACAGCAGTGTATCCACCACCCCCGCCGAGCGCGTAACTACTACCGCCTCCGCTTGGTCTACTGTAGCTGTAGCCGGATGAGATTGGTGGCTCGGCCAGGGCGAACCCTGCTAGACCGACTATCATACACTGGAAGAACGAAAGACATTGAACACGTTAATTCTACCTGTTCACGCGAACGATACTGTTATTATCGCGGTGTACAGCGTATCAGGCTTGCTCGAAAGCGAATCACGATTGCTGCTAGAAAGCGTTGTCCGATGGGGCTGATTCGTCGACGCCGGAAAAAGGAAAATTGGAAACCGTCGAGATCATCGAAGCGTAGTTGAAATTAAAGAAAAGTCACACGATCGAGAGGGAAAGCCGTGGCGCGAGGTATCGTTGACAGGGAAACTCGAGAAATACGTGGAGCGAAACAAAGTGACCGGATGGACGGATAAAACGTAATCCCCGACGAAGCTTTAGCGGAATTTCCGGCTAGAAAATTAATAGGGATACACGGTCAACGAAAATCGAGGACACCGATCACTTTTCAAACATCCCGTGGATCTCACTTTTCGACAAAATTCCTACACTTGTCCATACGCACACACACATACACACACAGTCTCTCTCTCTCTCTCTCTCTCTCTATTTCTCTCTGATTCAGGCAGGATAATTTTTAAAAGAATTTTGCGTGCTTACCGCGATCAGAGGATTCATGTCGGCTTCTGCGGTGCCGCTCTGTTCTGTGACTCTGTGCAAGGTAGACCAGGGTCCTTTATACCCCACGAGAAGCAGGGGGATACTTGAAGCCCCCACGAAGAAGAGACGGGGGCCTCTCGAGTGAGAGTAATTCAGCTGTGAGACGATTCTCTCCTCCCCTCCCTCTCTTCGCTTCTCCTCTGTCCTTTCAATTGTGTTCGTGTCTCTCTTTCTCCGCTGGACGTTACACCTACCTCGTCCTCGTCGCTCCTGTCGATTCTTAGGCCCTCTGCCTTCGGGAATGGCCGAATTTGGACGTCCCGTTGTTGTGAAACGTCTCTCTCTCGGATTAAACGCGGCCGTCAGGTCCCAAGTTGCGTCCTAGACCTAGACTCTCGGTACACACTCGATGTCCCGAGTCTTCGGATGATTTCGCAAATATAGGTTTTGACTCGGACCCGATCGTAAAAACGATCTTTGATCTTGGCTCGAGTTTGTCCAAAATTACACGGCACGATAGAATTTCGACGAAAATTCACGCATCTTCGTTAGATAATTCCGCTTTTAACGCTTTTCGTTTCTTTTCTTCGTTCCAGCTCAGACCCGGCGATCGAAGACGTTTTCAAATGGACGACGCATTTGCAAATTTATTGCGAAAAGATCGTCTGCGAAGCAAGCAAGTGTCGACAATGCTCTGACGTAACTATCGAAGTTCTGGATATCGATCGACTCGTTGTTTATCGAATACGTTTCCAAATCTTGCTAAAATTTCTGCCATTTGTATTCCGCCAGCGCATTCGCGAAAGGCACGTAGACCCCATCTGTCTAACGTCACAAGTAGACCACGAGGACGATGATTCTCCTTCTTTTTTAAGTCGAGTTTTTAAAATGTAGCCTACTTCGTTGCAATTCTCCACGATTTTATCCCGTATTTCGATTGTATTCCGAACAATCCACTCGGGTAAAAATTTCACTCCTGCCAGGAATTCGACGCCATGATTAATCGATTCCTGCCTCGAACGGATATCTCATAACCGATTTCCGCGTATTCTCGTAGAACCCGTTTAGTTTTTAAGCCCCAGAAAGCAGCCATATTTCATTTTTCGCCCGGGATTTACTAAATATATCCATCGGTCTAACTTTCGAAGCGAACAATTCCGTGACAAGCATATTCCGATCCGGCTACTACCGGCCATTTTCAAACGCGTTTCAATTCAACCCGACCGTGCGAATGACAAATCCCGCGAGTATGACAAGCTCATAAAACATCGTTTATTAGCATACACTTCATCGAATAATTTGTGCGCTGCTTTGTGTCTATTTTATATAACGACGTTACGCAGCTGTTGAGCAAAACGTGTCTCAGGAACGCAGTCATCGAGCGTGTCCCAGAGCCACCCGTTAGATCGTTGATCCTTGCTCTATAAGGGAGAGGTATCAGGAAGAAAAGTCGCCTTTCGTATCATCATCGCGAAGCTTCCTTGCATTTTCATCGTGATCATCGTCCTCGCTGGCAGCGCGATCATCTTGCTCCCGCTCAGGTGCGCGTACGCGTACGCTCGCGTGTGCAGGTGTGTCTGCGAACACGGACGCACACGCGAGCACGGAAATATCAAACGATATCGAACGCTTGTCCAGCGGAGGTCCGTGCCACGGTGATGGTTCCACGAAACGAGAGGGAAAACGCTTTCTTCCATGTGGAATTTAATTATCCGCCTGGTGAACTCTCGACCCACTTCTGGACACGCTCCTATCCAATGTTTCTGTCATCCTTCGTCTCTTTCCTTCGCCACCCGTGTTCGCCCCATTTCCGGCCAGATTCGCGCGTCCCTCGCCAGCGTGTACGCGCTCAGTCGCCGCTACGAAGCTTTTTCTCGTTGTTCACCAGATTGATCGCTCGCTCGTTCGTAGTTCGCGCGGTTCGCTTGGAAAAGCGGGAAGAAAGGTGCACCTCGATGCTCGTTCGGAATTCCCATGCCGGTTATCGATGAAGGAAACAGGAAATTGGACGTTCAGTGCTGCGAGGGATCTGCTGTCGTTCTCGTCCATTTTTACCCGACATCGGGGCACCCGTGGTAAAGTTGCAGTGTTACGAAATACCTATGTACGTACTCGCCACCTGTTGAAATACTGCTTCATTGGGTAAAAAAGGTCACATTCTGAGCGGATAATTAATTTCCTCTGGTATCCATCCTTCGCGATGGCTCTCCTCGAGTGAAAGTGATTTTTGTTCCATTCATATTTGACATGCAATGTTTCCGATAGCATATTTTTCGATACACCTGCTCGTAGCTTCATCCGATACGCGAGAAACGCGTATGTCGCGTTGGTGTACGTCGAAGCTCGTAAAAACGCGATATTCAAACGGTCCGAATTTCGAAATCATCAGTGCCAACAATAATGGTCGTATTGTATACTTTATGATCGTACGAAATTATGTTCGTCGCTCGGAAATTTTTCGCAAAGCTGCGGAGGTGGCGTCTTGCTCCTTGCTTTTTAATATAAAAGCACGGAACACGGACGCGTTATCGTCCATCCAGTTTGCAAAATTTTTTCCACATTCCCAGCTTCGTAATTACGCTCTCAGAACCGCTGCTCGAAAAGGGGACTCGTCCTCTTTGCGACTGCTCGTAAAAAGAAAAGGAAAGAAAAGTAAGAGACGTTGGCCTACTTTGAGATGTCAGGAGTGATGAAATATTCACTGTATCATGCGTACTAGCGGAAGGCTATCGAGGAACGAATGGAGCATTAAGTACAGATTAGCTAGCCGGCGCCTGTGCAAAAATTTCGATTTTCTCGATGCCTGTCGCGATTCATCGTGGCTCGTCGATCCCGATGACTCGGGATCTTCCCAAGCCCCCGAGCCACGTCTCGCTGTGTACTGCATCCGAGTTTCTCGGATATTAATGTTGCAGGGTCGCAGGAAAGAAGGGGAATCTGCGAGTCTGAGGCTCGACTTTCGCTCGTCCGTTACAACCTCTTCCAAGAGTAGTCCTCTTCCTCCTCGACGCTGTTTAGTCCGTCTCGTTTTTGTCCCATCTGACACATCAGTTTGATCGCAATCGTTCGAATCAATCGTTTGGCAGGTGGAGAGAAAAGAGCACATTTGTCATACTCGTGCTTTACGTCTCGAGCGTTTTCCACCAAAAGACTAGTTTCACTGATCGGTTCGAAGCTTCGCAGTGTATCTTGGACGCTAACTTTCTTCGCAGACGCGAGATAAAAGCGTCCGTCAGGGTAATTAGGAATTTCTGGCGACGACCTAATTAGTGGTTTATTTAGGCAATTATTAGCTATATTCTAAACTTTCACGCTTTTCTGCCGTTATTCTTTCCCTTCTTGTTTTTATCTCATTTTATTCTTTAACCGATTTGCATTAAAAATACCCGGCGAGGAAAAAAGAAAGCGTTTACTGTATAGACTTCAGCCTTGGATAGCCATAAAAAATCGTAAGGTTTTTGACTTATGTAACGAAATCTTTCGAATGCCCACGCAGTAAAGGAATTTCGTCTGCATACATTTTCATGAGGCTGACCCTTTTTCTATATATAAAACAGAAGCCGCTTGGTATCCGTGCTCAATGCTTCCTCGATAATGCGTATCTCGAGAAGGATCGTACGGTCGAGGAGGATATGATGGGAATCTCGCGGAAAAAAAAGTTTAACATCGCAACGAAATCGCGTGTAATCCCGTGAGGTGAAAGGCTGAATTCAAAGTGAAAGGTGAAGGGAAAAATATTTTTGTATGGTACTCGAGAAAATTTGGTACTCGTCAAGACCGTGATGCTGTTGAGACTCGTCTCTAATCCGATTGGACAGTTTGGCGGTCGCTCGTGATGGGATCATTAGGTAGTAACACGTTTGCATAGTAAAAGGCCATAAACTAAGTAAACAATAGACCGAACGTCAGTGGGACACTTGGCACATTAGCATGCTAATGAGAATATTTAACTCGCGTAAATATTTATCGTACAATGCTTGACAATATTGCGTTGTACAACTTATGGCGTCTGTGACGACCCTTCGGAAACTCGTAAATATTGCTCGCCAGACTTTTGCCCATACTTCTGTGACAAATCGGGTGTCACTTTTGCGATCGTCCAATCGACCTTAATCGATACCGATTAAGGCGAAATTTTTTTTCCCAGTGTCAGTGTGTTGGAGAATTTCGAGATTGTGCCACGTGTATTAGATCCGAGGGAGCGGCTGCGAGGGAAAGATCTGTGGCAACAGAGTGGAGTTACTCGTTAGCGATGTGCAAGTAAGCAGGTAGTACGATTACGCAAAATTGCTTACGGGAAACGGAGCAAGCCTGCGTTTAGTTGTTGCACAAGAGAGGATGCTTCCCTTCCCGGCAGCAGCAGACAGCATCGTAATACGAATTACTTTAAATCATATTTGCCAGCACGTACGTTACTCGATAAGTCGACGGAAAGGATTAAAGATACGCTGGAGCAAACAACACGAACCTTGGGTTCATCATATTATATACGACCGTTCGAAAGTTTGGTCCAGTGACTCGTTTAGCCTGCAGCATCCGAGGAAATCGGTGATGAAAGCGTCGGATAGCGCATGAATTTGATCCGTTGGACGGGTAATCAGAAGCGGTGAAACCCGGCAAGGATGTAAAGTGACCTCATCGCTGAGAAATTGGTACGAGCAGGTAGTATCACTGTGAGAGCAGAACCCGCTTAAACTCGCACCGGCGTTAATGAGAATCCTCCACGTATCTTGGCTATTACATCGTGCGCGATGTTTATCGAAATAAGGACGGGACGTTCCTTGTCCCCGCTGTAGAAGCCGATCATACGAAGCTAATGTGCGATGCGTATTTTAACGACAAACCTATGACACAAGATTCGCCACAAATGCAACGAGGAAACCGAGAACTCGCATTTATTTGCATACGAATATTTGTTAGAATTTATTACCAGTTAACTGAATCGTAATTAATAATTTTCTGTAGGATTTCCATTTGCCAATTATAAAAATTCCCGTTTATCGATGCCGTATAAAATTGCAAATGATTTGTATCGAACCTGTACAATGGTAATTGTGTTCACTCGTGGCGTATAAGTAGCGTACTAATACCACTTGATGCCTCGTGTTCACCGGCAGAGACCGGTAATGCGATGGCTAGACGTCCTAGAAGAGCGTAAATGGTAATTGTGTTCACTCGTGGCGTATAAGTAGCGTACTAATACCACTTGATGCCTCGTGTTCACCGGCAGAGACCGGTAATGCGATGGCTAGACCTCCTAGAAGAGCGTCATGAATATCTTCCCATGTACGTAATTATCACTGTGGTATGTGAAAACTGGAGAAACGCTTCCGGTTGGTTTATACGGACGAGCCGGGTCGGAATGAAATGCTAGCCCATCTACTTTTTGAGCGTCCATCGCATCGCTGTTTAATATCATCCGCACGATTGTGCCTAGAGGCTCGTCCTTTTTCTCTATTTTTTAATCATTTGTATAGCAACCGAGAGAATGGCAGCAATTACCGGGGATACGACTTACTTTCTTCGAGCCGACGTTTCCTCGGTTTATTACCGAGCAGACTCGAGAACTTCTCCGGTTATATAACGTTTAATTGGCAATTTTTTACAAGTAATTTAGTAGCATGGTCGAAGGGAATTAAAAAGAGAAACATCTGTGCTTCACTGGAAACAATTAGCGGAGCGTCGATGATCGTTAGAACCTTCTCCCATTAATTGGATCATCGCACAACGATGCAACCATAGTCGAATCTGACTTCGCCGAAGAGAACGAGCCGCGCTGAAATTTTTGTTCGTCTTCCGAATATTTTATGACGAAAATATCGCCATAATCAAATTTCAAATCAAAATTGTAAATTTCGACCTTTCGAGTCGTTGATAAACCATGGCGGAATTTTTTCCCACCTTCCTCTCGCCTCGATATTTATTACCCGGATCCCGTATCGCTAATTTCACTACGCTTTTGACACTGTTCCGCAAATTTAAGGAATCCATTATTGTCCCTGCAACGTGGTGCAAAGTGTTAAGCATGTACGGGAGTTTGTTTCGCTCCTTTCGCTTCTTTCTAATCAGCTTGGCACCGTTTTAATCTCACCGCTTTCCTTTCCGGCTCAAAATACTTATTTGGCACGGCGTAACGTCCATTAAAATGCTTCCTCTGCCATCTTCTCTCTCTCTGCTCGCTATACTTTTACCACCTTCGCGTCACGTAATTTCCACTGGACTTAATTCATCCTCCCCCATTTTCTTTTCTTTTATTTTATTTTACGTAAGCGTGATCGCGCAGCTATCGTGATCATCGAACTCTACCCGATGAACAGTCGCTAATTAGCAAACTATGGGAGACCAAAGCGTCGACTCGTCCGAAATTCCGAACAGTCGATACGAGACTAAAGCCGACGAACGTTTCATAAGAAGAGAAAAAAGGAAGAGTTCGCAGTGGAAGATCTTCAATAATGATCGCAAAAGTAGACGTCGGAGATCCATCGCAATTACCACCAGGCCGCTTCTGCTCGCTCTTTATCGGATCACTTTCTTCGGCGAACTCGTGGAATGGCGACCTTTGCAGAGGTCGCTTAAACTACGCTCGAGTTTCACCAGCACGCTCATCTCGAACGCCTGGTTCACCGTTACTCGGGCTCGTTTATACCGAGATCGATCCTCGCACTTCCTTCTTCCTGTACAGACCCGGGAGATCACGATGCACCCTGAGAACCCAGGCTCGACCCCGTGTTCCGTGCGAAACATCGAAAATTGTTGGGTTCACGGAAATACGAGACCCGCGCTGGTAATCAATCGGGATTCACCGTGGTAATTGGGTCGTCTAGAAAGGGGAAAGGGATATTCAGCAGTTGGTCGCGTTTCGCCTGTCTTCCTCTGCGACAGGACATTGCTAGATCCATTCGTCCGTGTATTACGAGGTTTACGATTATTCACGATGTCTCTCAGCAGTCGAACGGTAGTTCGCTCGAGCGATGATTTATATTCCGCGCAAACTGTGTAGAAAGTTGTGATAAGAGAAGACGGTGTAACAAAGTCGAAGAAAAGGTGCAGTTCCGGAGTTTCTACGAGGAGCTTCTGTGTCACAGATCCGTGGGATGGTTTCGACATTTAGCGCGACGGATCTGCGCTGTGCCTTTGGTTCATGAACGAATACGTCTCATTCAAGAACGCAGCGCGTTAAGTTCCAACAAAAAGCTTGTTAATATTCATCAGATGTGTACCGTTATTCAACAGTAATTCAGCGAGAAATGTGACATCTACGGATAGGTTTATTGCGTCTATGACGCCGGCCTCGTATAAACGCGTTACATGATTTACCGCTTCGCGATTGCGCTCGCCAGTCCTCGCATATTCCGCGGACTTCGAGATTCCAATTTTTCCCCGCTTTTGTCGACCAATGGCCGTTCGATCAATCGAGTCGGCAGTAATTATCAACCCACTTACGATTATCGATAATTCGCAGACGCCGTTATCGACGAGTTACGTAAACTCACGGGATTCCAGCATGCTTGTGTCTCGTAATAATGAATTAATCGAACTATCCAGCGAAGGTATAGGCTTCCTACGCGAGACCGTTCCCAGAGAACAGTCATTGATCCCTGGCAAATACACGCAACTTGGGTGGAAATTCGTATAAGGTGATTGGAACGGAGACGAGTGTCGGGCGAGCAGAAAGAATCGATAATTATCTATGATTATGCGGCTAAATCGAGCATGATCGATCAACGTGAATCGCGAGGCGGCGCAGATCGACCTCCGATAGCAGGCTACCCAGCCGTAGAAAAGAAGCAACGATGACCCGGGTCGCTCTCACGCGTTTGTCTCAGTTGTTCACTTCCGCTAGTGAAAGGTGCATGCACACTCACCTCGGTGTCTACGGTAAAATGCGCTTACGTACACCTACGTGCATCCCCGTGTGCGCATCGGACTAGCCAAGTACACCTCTTCTATGTAACCGGCGAGGCTTGCCTGGAAAGGTAGCCTTAGATCGTCGCATCAGTCTGATTGAAATTCTAACGGGTGTCCCGCGGCAAATCATCGGATTTCTCGCCGCGTATTCCTATTCCTCCGGTCGTTTAACACCAGGCGAAATCAATTTCCTTCGACACGTTGCATTCGTTAGAAGCTTAGCTGCCGCGAAGACGTTTCGTCGCCTCGACGATCCTTTTCTTTCACCCGAGTTCGAACTTGTTTCGTCAAGGATTCTACGGCCACGAGGTGTCTCTACGAATTAGTTGCGCAATCATTTACACGGTTGGCTATCGTTTTTCCTAGGCGTATCGTGTAAACGCTCGAACAGGAGGCAACGATCGATTTTAAGGAAAGAGAAACGCGGAAAGACGAACGGGAACCGATCGTCCAAGAGAGCGCCGCATCGCGATGTTTTTCATCGCGTGAAAACGCGTCGACTGGCAGATCGGTGACCAGAGTGTGTTTGACATTTTCACGAGTGTCAATTATGCGATCCGCGATTTTGATGGCTCGTAACCTCCGTGATTACGGCTTCGACGACATTCCATCCGAAACTCGATCCTTTCGAACACGCATTCTTGACTTCCTTGAACTTCGACAAAGTATCTTATGGGAATTCTTCGAGGTAGCATTATGCTTCTACGCTTCGATCAAACCGCGCGATTTACGCTATACCTTATTTGCCTTTTCACCGTCGAGATCCCACATCGGTATGACGTTGAACGACGCCGAGTGATGTTGCTTAGAATGGAAATCATTTCCGAAAGAGTCAATATCGTGATACTTTTCCCTGAGCAGAAAATGAAATCGGGAAGAAATTTGCGCAGTCCTGTCACGACGCGTTTTGTAATTCTAATAGTCAGAATTTCTAAACCATTTTATTTCGACCGATTCGGTCTGCCAAGTGGAGCGGCGCGTCTAAAGATCATGCCGATTTCTTGCATCATTATTGGCCTAATTCCAGTCGATTTGTATTCATATTTGGGAAACATCCATTCGTGGCTTGGGCAACTTTGTTCGGAAACGTCGAATGAATACCAAAACTACGATTCTCCTGGCTGTTTTCAATTAACGATGTTCGTCCGCGACTGTTAAATATAGCGACTGCTCAGTTGTGTCTATTATCGCAATTCCTTACGTAATACCGCGATTAATCAATTTACGTCTAATTAAAGACAGTCTCTCTGGAAATTCGCGCCGTTCTATCTGATTATGTGGCGTTCCAAGAATCCGCTGATAAAAATATTCCATCCCGCAAGAATGATTTTTATCACTCGAACGGAGATAAAACCCGAGACGATATCCGAAGATGTGTTTACACTTGTCCGTGGTGCTTCGTATGTACTTAGGAAGTTATCGAGATAATTAGAAAATAAGTAGTACTTAATTTCCTGCATTATTGAGACGTAAAAATCAGTGATTTAATATATGATTATCGAAACGTATATTTCATCCATACCAAACTTAGAGATACATATGTACGTTACACGTCCGTAAACGATTCCTTGGTTATTATCAGCATTATGACCATTAAATTATACGACGCACTCGAATGAACTTTGGTCTCATTCGCAAACATCGAATCACGGCTTCTGCCCATTATGACACTTTATTGTTCTATCTGAACCGTGCAGTCGAACGCCGACTAATGGCAACCTAAGAAAAGAAATTACAATCTTGCGTCGTACAGACTAATCCTAACAGAACCAACACCTAACAGTTCAATGATCCCAGTGTCTCGATGGCAGTCACTCTAGCACCTCTAGCACCGGTAGTACAGACTCGAATTAAAGTCCACCCACATCCTCGTCATCGTCGCTTGCAAACGCCGATATTTGGCAGAGGCTTCAGCTTGCACTTCTTCACCCAGCCGCTCCACGCTTGGAACCCGTTCGAATTATAAATCTTCTTGGCACACTCGATGTCATCCTGGATGTCGTCGTTGGCGAAATCCTCGCAACGTTTGTTGCACTCGCCACCGGTGTGTCCTCTGGAGCACCACTTCAGACTGCTGATCTGGAAGATCCCGTAGTTGTAACTGGAAGCTGTCTTTGGACCAGTGACCAACTGCGTGTCAAGTCCACTTTCGCTCTGCATCAGGCAGACCCAGTTGCTTATCATGGTCCTCGTGATTTTAGCACGTTGCAGCTCTTGCACGGCCTCGCACAGCGACAGAACCTTTGCTTCCACCTGGCTGCGTATCAGCACAGCCAGGAGGAACAGGACCAGCCAGGATTCGATCTTCCTCTTCATTTCCTTTCCGATGCTTCAGCTGTTCGATGAAACACACGAGGGCGGGACACTGGCGCTAAACTATTCGACACAACGTTACCGCGACGAAGATTCACGCTTAAATATCACGCGACTTACTGCACCGGTTGTGCCGTGCTGTGGCAAACGATACGCGACGTCCTTGAGCTTGAGCGATAAATTATAATTTCCTAAGCGCCGCGTGGCCGGAAGGAATGTCTGACGACTGTTGTCCTTATTCTTTCTTCGCGATTTCGCGTTGGCTCCACTCGTCTTCGATGGGCTGCTTCGATAAACTCGCCATCGATGACAAGTTTTCCGTAATAACACTCGTGATTCTTTTTTTCTTCGCTTTTTTCGCTACACCAACGGTAGCTGATACTCGCGACGAGTCGATAAGAGCGAACGGTGCTTCGTTGCAAAATAGACAATTCCAGTGGGAGCCGTGAGAGTTCGAGTTCGGTGCAGTCAATAATTCCACGAATAATCAGCTTGATTTTTGGAAATTCGAGAAGCAGTGAATGGATCGGCATAAAGTTTCCTGAAAAGGAACGGAACGATGCTGAAGAAGGATTCGCAGGATATCTAATTGGAAGTTTTTATCACGATCCTTAAAGGAACCTTGCGCGTGTCCTTATAAGCCGAAGACGCTTTCTAAGCTAGGAGAATACGGACAGCGCGTGAGACCTTGGGGAAATTGGTTATAAAAGAACGAATCGATAGAGGGGAAAAGAAATGGTATCTCGTGGTGCGGTAAGTGATGTGCGATAGGGGATCATTTTTATCAGAGGTACAGCGATTGACGTAACGCGGTTATTTAATAGAGAAATTTTATTCAGAATCCGACGAAACGTCGAAGCTACTTAACGAATTGCATAAATGATTATGCAAGTTGCAGAACTCGCATCGCTAGATTTTTATTCGCGATCGATGGTAGTGTAGGTAAAAATAAAATAAAATAGGCAGTACGTAAAGTTCGCAAATAAAAGTCTATACACAAGGCACAATAATATCACATGTACTTACAAAACTTCCCTCGCGTGTAACGTTACGCTACGTTTCTTGACAGTATTGACACCTCTCAACTCGTCTTAAGTTAACTATTCACAAAGTTATTTCCTCTCGCGCGGAAATAGCAGTAACTTCAATGTAAATTCTCGATTTCTTTCAGATTAGGAGAGAGACGAATTCCTTACGGTACGATACGATATTGACTTATACAAAAATACTAGTATTCTCTTCTGGTCCAAATGAAAAAGTATTCAGCACGTGTATTACACTAATAGCCAACCAAAAGCGACACGTCACATTCGTAATGTAAATAACGCCATAATTTAGTAGTTTGCGTACAAAGTATATCAATATTGATTGTCGTAAAGTCTCGTTACTTTTTTCATTCGTATCTATCAATACTCTGCATATCATTGGCAATTTATATATTCAACATACACATAGAAAGATAGCGTAATCGCTTATATATATACGAATCGAGCATTTAATATTGCTTTCGTTAAATACACCTTTTTCTAGTTCGTTAAATTAAATTTGAGCCTACGACCTGTTTTATCGATCCTACGAAATCGTAGTGTAAACGTGATCGTCGTGCTAATCTTATTAGGGCAAAGACTTTGGTGAATTCGCGACCGACCTTAAATATCATCCGGTACAGACCATCAGCGTGCAAAATTCCATAATTACACCGCGTATTTACAAAATGTCCTAGCTACGAAACGTTCTGGCACCCTATAGTTGCAAACGTAATTTCTACCTTAACAACCGGAACACGTTCGACATCTTCAGCCTTCGGAAAGTCATTCAACCCGCCGCCGCGTTGGTCAAGTTCGCCCTTCTGGCTTTGGCAAATCGTAGTATGTCCGGATTTTCGAAGATCATTTTGGCTAATGTCTCTATCCCCGCGTAAGTGTCAGCCTTGGTTCCCATGCACATAGACCACTGCGTTCCCGACAGATCTTTACTGCACTCGACATCGTGATAAACGTGAACCAAGTCCTTGTCAGCTGCTCTGAAGATCTTGATATTCGACTTGACTACCTTCTCGTAGAAATCCACGTCCTCTTTGCCCCATCCCTCGATGGACAGGTCGAAGCCACCGACCACTTTATAATCCCGTTTGTACAGGGAAACGATACCGAATCCAAATTGCCTCCAATACCCCGTCCTTTCGTTTATGGCGAACGTATCATGCCTCCTGGCGTTTCGACCATAAAGCGTCTTTGGGTCGTACTGACTGAACACCACAGGGAAGTATATTTGTCTACCTAGAAGAGTATTCACGCGAATCCTGTAGAGGGCAGACTCGGTAAACACGATGTCCACGTCGACGAAGAACATCAAATCGTCGTCCTTCAACCTCGACACGCCGATGTTCAGAGCCTTCGCTCTGGAAAATGTTCCAGAAGCATGGATAACGTCGACACTGGCGCTACGGTATTTGTATTTCAGTTGTTCTATCAAATCTATCGTTCGCTCGAAGGAGGAATTTTCTGTCTTGTGACGATAGAGGATGATCGAGAGGACAGTCTTCTCTCCAGTCGTTAGGCAGGTCTCTTCGTAGTTTTGCAGGAACCTTTGGAAAACCTCGAATCTTCCGGACAAAGGGAGAATAAAATGAACGACCTTGCTCTTCACCGGATCCTCCTCTTCGAAGTTGAAATTCAGGTTCAGAAAGCCGCCTCGAAATATATCTTGCAAAGATTTGTCTCCCCGTTGCTTCCTCCGCGTCTCGTCCACTTCCACCCCGTCCACGGTTTCTCGTATTTCCAGTCCTACGAAAAAGAAACCAGTGCTTCACTCGAAACGCCATCGCCGTTCGTTTCGATCCCTGCGACGCAGTTTTGCTTTCAACGAACGCAAAAGATTCCGTTCGGCTTTGAAAACGGTACCTGTGAAGTGTTGATGGAGGTACACGTGTCTTCTGACAGGCAGCGTAACCTTTCTGCCCCTGTACTTCCGGTAGACCAACAGGAGATCCAGTATCGTGTCGGCACCATAAGAATCTACTCTCCTGTATCCATATAGGGTTGACCTTTCCTCCACCACTCTGCCACGCTGTCGTGAACAGGCATTTATGGAGGCCATCACTTCCCTCGTGATGTCCTCCAGACCCTCCTTTATGTCGCTGTGAATTCTTCTCCTGGGATTCGAGTCGCCTAAACTGTACTCGGACCTCGACAAGAAATCCCAGTGTATTACTTCGTCGCTGGTTGTCGGTGTGAACGAACGTAGTCCTGCAGAAACACCTGTTTAAGAAAAGAATGCGTTAACGAAATTCGAAAATTTCGAAGAATTCCTATTACCACGTGCTGTATGTTTATAACACTCGATACCATTATGCGCGGAATAATTTATACGACGTACACGCTGGCAAAGTATCAACAGTTTGGTCTATGGCTGCGTTTAAAATTTTAGTACCTCCACACGGACACGGATGTAATACCGGACCACTTCACAGCGCTCGCGTATTAGGCGCGAATATGTCTGTAAGTGCAGAAGATGGAAATGAGTAGAATCATGATCGAAGTCCTGATCGTTCCGTCTGATGGGCTCAAACGAATCGTGTCGTGCCTCGTTCCTACATCGCCACGTCGGTCCGACGATCAATTCGCACGGGCTAATCGGCCTAAATGGTTCTATTAATAACGCACATCCAGGGAAACGCGATTGTTCATGAAATCGACGATTCGTGCCCGGCTCGTGAAATATTCCAGTGGTTCAAAAGCTCCTCGCACGCTCGGCATCGAATTTATCCTAATGACGTGCGCTTAACCACCCACGTTTTTCGAGTAATTTTCGCGACTTTGCAATTCTCGGATAATATTCGTTTACCTAGTATTTCCGTGTCGCCCGGATATTCCTTGGAGTAAGGACTGACAGGAAACAGAGGGACACCGTCGGCAATCTCGAAATTCTTCAGATTCTCCACGCTGATTCTCAATTGCTTCGCCATCGTGTAAATATCTCGGTGAAGATTGAGTCTCTCTTGTTGCAAGTCTTGGATCTGAAGTCCCTGCAACGGAAACAGAGGCTTTTGCAACAGGCAGAGGAAACGATTAGCAGGTAACGTTACGCGAGTCGATACCAACCCTCATGTAATTGTGTAACCTGTACATATGTGGCGGACTTTTAACAGGATGCAAAGTAATAGCACGGTGAACTTCTTTTTTCTTTAAGTTTCCGGTGAACGCCTGTGCACCGCTACTGTTGTGATATAGAATGGACTGCATCTGTAACAGTGAAAGCATCCAGTATCGTCAGCTGCGATTAAAATTCACGGGACAGAAATAGATGACAGTCGTCGTCATCCGACGATGACTTCAGATCTTAAGACGTTTAACCCGGTAATTAGATGAAGTTAGAAACTGTATATTTGCACTGGCCCCTAATTTGAGGAAACAGAGTTCTCATTCTAGCGAGAATCAAATTTTTGACGGTCAGGCTAGCGAGCTTTCGGTGAATGCGTAAACGAGTTTTTATAAACCAACGCGAATAGAACTAGAGTGGAAGTATAAACTTCCTGCTGGTTCACTGTCTGATAATAAATATTATCAAGAACACCAAACTGCATCTTACCGGGACCGCAGAGCAAGTGTTAATCAAGCTGTGAGACTGGGTGTGGTGGTGTCGTATGACAGGGAATTATTCTAGTATTACGTCTCTCGAGTTAATTTGGTCATATTCTAGCATCGTTTATTTCACTGTACTCTTTTGCAAATTACCGTAGATCCTGCTTTGAGAAATAATCGAAATACCAAAGTATCAGGAAGAAAATTGCGTATGCGTCATTAGCTAGCTCGCCACCTAGAACCCGAATCGTAAAATCGTCGTCGCGGGTGTTACGCATGATCGATAAATCAATCGTTCGAAAAAGGAAACGTGCAAAAACTGTACGACAAACACTTCGTAGCTATTGCATGTCGTATGAATAGCTATTAAGTGTTTCGACCTTACGACGAAAGTCAAGACGGGAACGTCTGCCAGTAGGTTAGCAGGCTACGATTTGTTCGAATCTAACGACTAACATCCTCGTGCCAGCATTCTACCTTTCAGAGTTATTCCACTGAAATCCCGGTCTTAAATCAATATTTCCGAACTCGACGGACCAATATTGGAGTTAGAAGTTGAATCAGCTCTTGGACGAACGTTCCCGACACGTTTCCCTTAGCGACTCGGACCTTGGATTCAAACAACGGAGACAACGGAACAGGAAGATCCGTCCTTTTTTCTCCTTTCCGTTTCATTGGAACTTCCTCAATCCAGAATAACCTTTTCTCTTAACACCACGAGAATAGCGTGAAAAAAGATATTTTATTGGATCGTGTTTCGGTGCATGTTGCCAATGCTAACGTTGTGACATAATAATTCGCCTAACAACGTGCAACCGTGAACGCAACCGTGCAGTTCGATTAAATTATTGCTAGGAACGCGATAAGAGATTTAACCGCTCCGTGCTGTAAATTGTTACTTAAGCACTTCGACCTAATGCTGAGTGTCAAGATGGAGGAGAATGACTCGATCTGGCCACTGGGTTAGCAGGGTACTATTCGCTTGTACTTAACGACTAACATCCTCATCTGTGCATTGTACCTTCCGAGTTAACCTAATGATAGCGTACCCTGTATATGATGCAGATGCGTAGCTTATGTATTTAAACCGATAATACGTATCGCATAGACCCTGTTTAGACCGTGCGAATATCGTGTTAGTGGGGACCAGGAACGGTTATTAAATTGCTCCTAGAAATCGTGCGACACCGATGAGAGATACCCGGGATTCCTCTGTTTCCAAAGAAACCAAGAATTATCGCCGAGTGATCTTTGTTACGAAAGAACACCCTCGTTAATTATCGACTTATCGAAGCATCGAAGTGTACGTTCTGTGGGATAGCACGACGTTCCGTCGAACATCGCGAGACTCTGTCGATCAACGGATTACACGTGCTCTATGTACGTCCCTAGTTATTACGGTGTATGTATCAAGAGAGAGAAGAAAACAGGACGACCGAAAATAGATTTAATAGTTATGTGAACGACGATGAGACGCATGAAGCGACCGAGCGACACAGCGGAGCATGTTCATAGAAGGAGAAAACCTCTAAAATAGACTCTGCGACAGACGTTGGCGAAGAATTCACGCGACAATTAACCCGCGCGAGGCAACTGGCAATTTGTCACGAGCAAACAAAAGTAGGAAAATAGAGAAAATTACCTCGTAGCTCCAGGTACACGGTATACCGGCGTACTTCTGCACGCACCTTCCCAATTCGACGTCTTCATGCGTAGTGTACAAATGTCTCAGGCAATACTTGATGTGCGGCACGATTCTTCTTAAGGTCTCCCTGGATAGTATGACACCTGGCCCACCCATGCAAAAATTCTCGTCGTACTCCAAGGATAACAAACCGAATTCCTCGGAGTTCCCTCTGCCTGCTTGGCCAATGTACATAGCTCTTTTGGAATTGACAGATCTCAGCAGTTTCTCCAAACGATCCGTCCTCACGTAGACGTCGTCGTCAGCCCTGAGAAACCACTCGAAACGATCCCCGTAATTGTTCCACATGTACTGTAGCATCATGAACGATTTCTTTTGAGGTGGATAGGTATCGTCGACCCGCGGTAATGGTACCAATGGCAGGTCAGGGCAGTTGTCCGGGACGATGGAGTTCTCGGACGAGAAAAAGGCAATTTTACCTGGAAGCTCTTTACCCCAGGTCTCGTAAACTGCCTTGGCTCGTGAGTCCAGGTATTTGCTAGCCGTCATAACACCCACGAAGACCAGGCTGGTAGAGGAACTGTTTATCTGCTCATCGTCGTTCAATTTGGGAACATTTCGGGCCGATGATTTGATCAACACTCCCGATCCAGGCATCGAAGTCACATAAACGTTTGACCGTTGATGATGGTTCGACGAGAGTATCCTATAGCTTTGGATAAGGAAACCTAGGAGAAGGCCTACTATCAGGCCCAGAATGGCGCTGGCCAGTCCACGTCGTTTACGCATCACTGGGTGAAACGTCACCTCTTCCATTGGTATTCTTCCGGGGTCCCTGGACCTCCGGCTGGGTTCATCGTCATCTTCCTACCTCCCGCGATCGACTTCTTCAACGATTTCAATCTGCTAATTAGCTTAATTGCCGGGAATTCTTCCTGCGATCCCATTGCTCCCTTTTCTCGACACTGAGCACGAGTCTGCTCAGACCTGTTGAACAAGATTTCGTAACCTCATTTTTCCATCGATTCGCAGTAGCGGAATGTTCTAAATCCAACGAACAAACGTTGCTTCTCGGTCGTCAGCAACGGAGAAGTCGAAAAATAAATAAAGGTAGCCGGTCGAATTGGTATTCGGTACATTTCAAAGGCATTCTTTTCGCATTCGCTGGACTTTGACTCACGTTTGTTTGCCATTTAAACAGCAAACTTTGGCCGTGTGTTTTCAACCGCTCACGGTAAGAGTATAAAAGCCTTCGTTGTTTGGCTAGCCATTTATTTTCGAGTTAACCTCGATGGAAACTAATAAACGCGAATTGAATCAAACCGATTATCGTTATCTCTGATACAATATCTATAACTGTGACGTAATCCTAGCCAGCCCTCGCGCAAAAATCAAAATTAACGTACTTACATCGAATAATCTCGTCAGTGATGACACCTGCGTTCCGCCGAATTCCATGGTCGATCCAGGTGTCCTCGGCGCGGTTACGTCTCGATCGTTCATGTCAATCTGTAAGAAACCGAAAACGCTACTGCTAGATAATCGATAGCACATTACGATTCGCAGATAAAAATTGATATGGTCGATATATGTGAGCAATTGAGGTCGCACACGTGCTAAGCAATTCGACCCGAACCTTCGCACCAGCAATTAATCCCTGATTTTCTTTAATCGCGGTTACCCTTTGGTATATTAAATATTTCGTAACCGCTCGATCCTAAACTTCGATAAATTGATCCGATAATTCGTATTCATTCGTTGTTTCAGCAGCATACGTTTATGGCCCGACGAGACAATTGTAGTCCACGATGAACAATCGAAATGCTCGACAAGGCGATCGATGACATTTGCTTTAATGAATTCGATCACAGCCGATCGACCGTGAAGATCAGACATCATGAAAGTCAAATATTATTTAGTTCAAGGATTTAGCGATTTTTTCCGCACAGCTGCTGTTTCGTGCAGTGTCACGTGAACGATGATAAGATGTCGAACAGAGCCGGCACTGTGTGAAGCTGGAAAGCCGCAGGTTACAGAGTATAATAGTGTGTAGAACTTGGCTCCGTTAGAAGACGTTCTCGATCAATTAACCTGACAGTTCAGTTACTCTTTTAACAAATATGGAAGAATGCTTCCTACATGCCTTGCCCGCTAGTCGACGCTTCGAATTCTTCACGCACATTTTTTGGTTCTGCGAGAAGTACCGTTAAGCATATTTCTCCCCCGTGTTTCAAATTACGTGAAGATTGCACGAATAGTGGAATTTGCGTTTAAGCGTGTTCAGATGTTAATCTTTACAAGAATCACGCGAGAAACAAATATACACCATGGATCGTGTCCCAAACGGACAGTCGAAATTTATTCGTCAAATCGGCGTAGACAAAGAATTGTCCCTCGACGAAACCGGTTCCAGGCAAGCTGATATACATATCCGAATGCGGGTAGTTATCGAATTTCGTTTCCTGACATCCTTCTGTTCCCGCGAATCTAACGGCGAAGGAAAGATCTACTTGTCCTGTTGTCGATGTACGCGAGGACGGTGTGATTTAACCGGGGAGAAAGGACTTTCTCGTTAACTGTAAATTAATTATTCGTTAAATGAAAGGTCGCTGATGGTCATCGCCGATTGTTACCAGTGGTTATTCGCACAGCCGTTTCCGTTCTCACAATCTTCTCGCGTTTATTCCCCGGGGCAATGCAGAAAAATCGGATTCCCGTTAAAATCCACGGTAAATGCAAATTATTATCTTAGCTGGTATAAAAATACTCGGCGAAAGGCGACACGTAAAATCAATATTCGTCCATGCCATCTTAATCTTATCGGTTCGAAAAAGAGATTGCTTCGAGTAATAACAATTCAAAGATAATTTGAAGTGCGAACCGTGAATGTTGACGCCATTATTTCGCGATCATTTCGCGAATTTGACACTCTTATTTTTCTCGCTTCGTCATTCCGTGAGTAAACGTAACACGCGAGGAGATACGGAGAAGAGTTTAGCCTGATACCGTTAGAAATTTCTGGGAATCAATAGATGCGCGTCGATAAAGGTGTTGACAATCGCGATTACACGCTGGAATCGGCGAATCCACGAAATCCCGGTGTTCGTCCCGTTAAAGGATGCGATTCGAAGTGACGTGCACGAACGAGGACGTACGAAAGGCGGGAGAACCGGTTTAAGCCGAAAGTCAGCTCCAGATCTCCGCTAGTTCCTACGGTAGGATACCTACAACTTCTAGTTCTTTATGGAGGAGATAAGAATGAGCTGGCAACGATGAGTTGCTTCGAACAAGAAAATCGAGTGCCATTAAAACCACGAACGAAAGTGTCAATGCACTTTTGTCGCACTTTTGAAATTATTATCTTACCGTGACGAAAAGGTGAAATTCGAAATTGACAGGGAGAAGTACGACTACGACTACGTCTATCGAAAATATTCGAGAAGAATCATTGGAGAATTTCTTTCCGGCAGATTTCGTTTGAAAACTTTTCACCGAAATATTATCCCGTTAACGAGGTGATTCGTTTAATGCGCGAGGGTGTCGAAAAATAGCGGGATCCTCGTATTCGTTTTAATCGCATCTGCACAATGGATTTGCATACATTTCGAGGTGAGTCAGAACAAAGTGGTCGACTGGCTGGAAACACGTTGTGGTTGGATTCTCGTGACTGTCGACACTCATTAACTTCCGAACGATCGTATTTTCGAAAGACTGACTTGACCAACAGACCCAGCCATTAAAAGCTGTTACGTAGAACGAGACCTCCGCTAATTGTTCCCACAGACATCGAGCCGCGGTTGAGGCAGAGCCATCGAAGCAAAGACACATTAGGTGGCTAGATTCGTCGTAGCCGTGACTGGAATCGGAGTTAAGCAGTCTGTCCGATCAACCGGTAGAAGCGTCTAGGAGTCATCGACTTTTCGTGTTCGGGAGCACGATAATAATGAAAGGCTTGCGGCTCGTGAAACGATCCCAGTGCACGGTTGAACAATCTCGTTAAACGACAGCTCGATATTCTAAACAAATAGCCTTTGTGCACCGGGGTTCTTAATTTATTAATTGCGGAAGCACTTACGTTGGCCAGCTGGCAAAAGAAATTTCGGATCTCATCCGGGAACTACAATGTCACGTTCGATTAATCGCTTTCCATCCACTCACGAGACTTTCTCACAATCACTGTTCCACCGAAAAACTTCGATTGTTCCCCACGATGCTTATATCACACCTTCCTCGACTTTTCACCATTCAATTTACCAATGCTGTTCGCGCTTCCCTATTAGGCGAAGCAACAAGCAATCTCCATCAGTCACTGAATATCTCTCACGGATGTGTATACCTCGTTTCACGAACAACTTACTCTTCTCCGTTTTCTTCTTTTAGCCGGCCGATTCGTTTGCCGTTCTACGTGTGCACGTGGGTTTAGCTGGCGCCGAAAAAAGCCGTGTTACGGACCCGCTGCATCCGCCTTGGCATGACAGAAGCCGTAAACGAAGAGACGATGAAAGAAACGTGCTGGCACCGGCCGCGGCCGTGTTGCGTGCAGGATGTCGGAGCGGCGACTGAACGAGACGAGACCGAGAGCCGGCTAGCAGTCAGCCAGTCAGGCAAGCAGTCGTCGGGCAACGAGCAGTCAGCCAGCTAGACCCAGGCAGCCTGATCGGCTCGCCGAGGTATACTAAAGCTTTTCAACGGACGGAGCAGAAACTTTTCGTTGGGATACGAAGGAAATGAGTCGATACGCAGGCTTCACGCCATGCTCCTGACCTCGGCAACCTTCGACAGCCTCCGATTCGATCCTTTCTTCATCGGCATCTCGACCCTTCTGCGATCCCTGGTGCTCTACGGATTCCTGCAGATTCTCAGATGCACGTGCGCCAGTCTTGCTCGCGAGGATGCGAAAAATTATGTAAGAATCTCCTCATATTCTCCAAGCTGAGCTTCTTCCTCGTTTTTTCTCCATACGTCTGGAAGATTGCGAAAAGGCATGTTATCTTCTGCGAACATTTCGACCGAGATACGCGGAACGTGCGACACTAGAAATGAACCGAGATACGCGGGATGCGTGACAAGAAACCAAGTGTAAAATCATTCTATTTCTATACGGTTATTTTCGATACGATGTCCCGGTAGGGTATCGCGATTTCCTCGATATAAATCCTATGGTAAACGATTGCTTTCTATTTTCAGTGGCCGACGAATCATCGATATAGGCCCGATTATTTAAATTTTGTAGCAAACGGTACGGTCGAACGTGTACGGGCTCTATATTTAGAACTCCTGACCCTCTAAAATTACTCTTATCTGTAGGAACGATATACGCCTTGAGATATGACTCGTTTATAGTAACAAATGGGCACATTTTTTCAAGAAATCGTACATTAGCTTTAGACATTTCTCGGTCGTACCTTCTTCCACGACGCGGTAGACTACATTCCCAAAACCTGTCGGTACACTATGGCGAATTTCTGTACGACTATCTTTATCAATCAAAGATAACCTACATTGTATGTTGTCAATATCGTCGCGATAGTTCCGATCAAACTACGCTCGATTACTCGGCAATTCATTGTCATGTATCGCGTATTCTCTATTCACGCTCGTCCGGTTGATAGGATGCGAAACATGTGTTTACTCTTCGCGAACCGCGAGAGAGGAGCGAGATGTGTACTCGAGTATATCTGGTTAGCGTATTGTGTAACGAGATGCGTAAAATAAATGTATAGTGAACACCTACGCGATCGTCGCGTGCTCGCGTTAGAACGCAGTAATGAACGTTACTAAACGCCGGCTAGTAAGATCAGTCGAAGCTGACACACTATAGCATCGCGTCCGTAAAGCAGGAACTTCCGTCGAAATAGAAGCGAATTGAACTACCTTTACGCTTCGTGAATTTCATATTATCTCCCATTCGCCATGCTCGATCCTTGCTCGAGCGGAACGATCGGATTAAGACGCGAAGGAGCAATGTAGGTGTGTTGTAAAAGATTCAAAAAGATCGGCCAGAACAGCGTTCAGCGACACGTCATTTAGCCAAACGATTACCCAGCCCCAGCACTTTCGTTTCACTTTTACCAGAAGTTTACTACGCGATTATCAACCACATCGTGCTATCGCGTTTGGATAATGCCGAATGCATAACGATTCGAATGATTACGAAGAAGTCATGCTGGCCGACCGGATGAATCAGTCGAAGGAGGAAAGTTTGCTCGTGGCGAGGCTGGTTAAATAATTTTATTTTTAGCCAGCTCGTGGAAATCCTTTTGCCGGAAATATGGAGGAGAAAGAGGAACCGATCCCTCCAACTTCACGCACGTGATAACCTCGGGTTTGACCAATCTTCCTTAAGACCCCGTTTCGACAATTTATTGCATTCCGAGAATTTAATGATCTTTAACGACGTATGGGAAAAAGAGGGGAATGGAAACGAATCGTAGGCAGACGTGTGGAAAAGAAACTCTTTCAAAATGGTCCATGTTCGTGTGTCGGATGTTAAGTATCTATTGCGGGTATTCCTAATTTAATCGTTAAAGAAAGTTATTCAAATTTTGGTGATATTAATTATTTTTCGGTGAAACTGCGTTCCGTGTTTCGTAATATCGTTTGTGATAAATAATTGATCAAAAATTTGGATTACAGATATAGCTCTAAAAATATCTAAAGGCAAGTCTTTGGTGATCGTTTAGTTTTATTTATTTTACGTTGTTACGCTTTTACTAGATAAGAGATTTAGTTATATCGTGTGAAGAAGAGGGTATGTAGCTGAAGTTATGCTTGCTTTTTGTCAAAAATATTAATACGTCCCCGTTTATAGCTTAGATTGGTACAAGTGTGATTTATGCATCATATTTCCGGTGAAAATAATACATCCCGTACATACTTACACGATGTTCGGCTCTCAAGTTAAACTAAATGTTTCTAATTAAATTCACCGGTAATAAGGTATGAAATTACTCGGAGTTTAATGCTAGCGCACCTCTGCTTGAGTTCTTTATGAAATTATTGTTGGTATGAAGACTAACGCGTTGCTCAATGTAATGTTTCTTATGCATTATGCAATGGTTAGAAGATTGCATTTTATGTAAGGAGAAAATTAGTGTGTTTTCTTTGATAAAAATGTGAACGTGCGAAAGGTATACTATATTTTGTAATGCAAATGCATCGTTTCATGCGGTGTGGTTGTTCTCACGATTAAATGGAAAAAGTTTAATTTTCTGTGTACACGTCAAGTAGGTCTTCCGTATATTGATAAATCGCAGATCGTTTAAAATTTCCCGCCGTTCTGAGTACAAAATGGCGGGAGCTATGTGACGATAGATCGTTGAACCCAGAAACACTACTGCATTCAACTAGTATATTTATTCCGGAATATTTGTTATTTATTCGTTTATAATGTAAGAAAAATTATTTTCGATCGTTACATCGCTTATTTGGGATATATCGAATTCATTAAACGTGTACATTATTTCCTTCAGGGTTGTAATAACCCAAGCGTCGTAGATTGTAACACATCGATTGGTATACTTGATTCTAAAATTTTAACGATTATTTGTTTCGTGCATGATAAAGATATCGATTATTTTTTTTGAGTACGCGCCGTTTATGCGAAAGAATTATACAGTTATTTGAATTGAGAGTCATTTAGCAAAAGTAAAATATGATGTCGTGGCATCCATATTGCAGAGGGCACGATTTCATTCTATACACGCCCCTGAGACGCCATTATATATGGTTGCTGATTTGACTAGTTCGTCAACGGAAGTGACGCGAGTCGCTTCGTTACGTTTACATTCTGTTCTCGACGTCGCGTTCATTGTGGGGAGCCATTACCCTCGTCCGCGCTAAGCATCGTGCCATATTCCCATTCGCGCCCTAATACTAACAACATTCTCGTAGTTTTAAGTGAAATATTATGAGAGTGAAGACCGAAATGGACGACGACGAAAAGGGGTAAGTCTGAATTGTGTATTAATGGCTATTCGTAGGTATTTTTTGTACGAAAATTTTCGATCGACGCGTTCATGGGCTGTCGGGTTTATTGCGTGGGATCTCCATTTGCGTATTGCAGTTACTTCGGATCTGTAGTTTCCCATCAATGTTCTTCCGAT